CCTCTTGGCCACTAGCTCAAAAGTTGCAACTTCTCAGAATGCTCCAAGTTTTCCAAGTTTGCTACTTGAGCGCGCTACAAAGAGCTAGGTAGACTATTGGGACACAAATCTATCGACACACTGGTCGCGAAGCTTATCAAGCTATTGCCCCAAGGGAGCCCTTGCCAGTTTACTACTCGGATGATGATGGGCCACGATTGTCTGCGGTTGGAGAAGAACTACCGCTCTGTGAACTACTTGGTCTAGATGGATTTTCGCTGGCAGAAGGTGCAGAAGAACTTGATAGAGCAAGGCTCTCTGCTGTATCCGCAGCTTGTGGCGGATCTAGATCGGAAGCTGATGACTCTGATGACGACACGAAAAACGTAAATGCGCTAGATTCGGATGATGAACTTGTTCCGAACAACGAGACCAACGGAAAACTGCTATGACTACTTTTTCTATGCTGCTTATGCAGCTTCTCTTTTCTCGTTTGGACTAGTTTTAGGGTGGTTCTCAAGTCGCCTAGTCAGCTGCGACTTCCCTTCTTCTTTTGCTTGCCATCGCCCTTGCGGGGTGGCTGCTTTGGCGCCTGGTGCTGTTGTTTGAACTTGCGCTCGGACGTGTTGTGGCTTCGGAAGTTGAAAGCCCTGCTTTCGTCGTGCCCATAATATTTGGCTTCCTCCTGAGTATTCCGACTTCTACGCCGGAAAACTAAGGTGCGCCCCGACTGCACTCTTGTTGTCGAGAAAGCGCCGCGGGCGCTACAAAGCGAGACTAGTGGTCCTTGGAAACCGTTGGCAGGCTGAAGCCAACTCGGACGCTTCTCTTTACGCAAGCGTAGTCTCACATCTCGGGAACCGCGTAGCACTGATTAACGGCGCAAAAAGAAAATGGTCGATGAAGGCTTTTGACGTCGGTAGTGCCTTCATCCGTGCAAGCATTCAGCATCCTCGAGTGGTTGTTTCAATCCCCGAGCAATTCAGGGATGGCGAAAGAGATGATGGTCGACGTCTTCTCCTAAAAGCCTTATACGGCCTTCCGATTTCGCCCAAACTTTGGGGCGATCAAATCGCCAAAGACCTTCGCAGCCTTGGTCGGACAGAAGCTCCAGCAGAACCTGGTCTGTGGCGCAAAGTCGATTCCAATGCTGAGCTAATCGCAATCTTAACCATCTATGTTGGCGACTGCGTGGCGATTGCGAAAACAGACCAACTGGTGGACCAGTTGATTTCCCAGGTGCACCAGCTACACCCTGCCACGATGATCAGCATGGAAAAAGCGCCTGAAGAAGCTGATCTGCCTGATGCTGTAAAGTTCGACTTGCTTGGTGCAGATTGCATCTACTCGAAACAGCAGGGAGTACTGCGCATCAAGATGCGGACTTACGCTGAGAAAGTCCTGAAGAAATTCGACATGCACCAGAAAGACCTCAAAACGCTTCCTACGCCGGACTTCGAGGAAGGTCCAATGTACGATGAGAACGCCACTCCCTCGACCTTCCCCCTCAGCGCATTGGTTGGGGCGCTACAGTGGTTGACCGTGACAGCGCGTCCTGATCTCGCTGCGGCTGTGAACAAGCTCGCAAGAGCAACTGCCAACAAGGTAAGCAAGGCGATGGAATCTGCCGGGCGCAAAGTGCTTCGGTATCTGGCTGGTGCAAAAGATGCTGGCATAGTGTACTCGCCCCAGGCAGAGCGCAACTTCTACCAAAAACTAGTCGAACTCCAGGGCCACCCTGACAACAGCAAGCGCGACCAGAAATTGTCCAATCACCCTGTTGCGACGTATGGCGACGCATCATTTGCTTCGACTTATCGGGCTCTTAAGAGCGTGGCTGGGGTTGTGGTCTATCTTTTTGGATGCCCAGTAGCATGGAAATCCACTCCAAAGAGCGCGACGGCACAAAACACGATGGAGGCAGAGTGGGAGGCATCTTGCGAGGCCATTGAGATGGCAGAGGGGCCACGTCTTCTCCTGCAGTTTCTCCGAGGTAGAACTGAACTAGAGCAGGCAAAGGATCAAGAGCCTGACGCAGGCCCCATCTTATGCGACAATCGCAGTGCGGTTTTATCAGGGCGGAAACCGCGACAAGAACTCAATCGATCGACCAGGCATATCGCGACTAGGCATGGGAAAGTGCTTGAACACGGGCAAAGGATAGCGTTCGTGCCCACTCAAGAACAACGCGCTGACGCACTCACCAAAACATCGAACGCAGAGGCGCTTCGGATCATCTTCCCGCAAGAAAACAGGAGCAGGGTGGCGCTTGAAGCGCAAGAAGAAGTGGATTTTGTGGATTGTTTCCTCGAAGTCCTTTGATTTGTTGATTTGAACTACAAGGCCAAAATTCGGGACCAAGGGCCCGGAAAAATGGCCCTAAGGTTCAAGTGCCGAAGTCTCACCTGTTGTTTTGTTCCAAAAAGCCAAAACTCGGGGCCAGGGGTCCGGAAAAATGGCCCTAAGGAACAAGAGCGCGCGCTGAAGTCTTCAAAGCTCTAGTATGTGATGGTGTATTAAATGCCTGATGGCCTCTGTTTCTGTCTGTATTTTTGAACTACAAGATGACAACGATGGCTACCAGATTCGAACCTTTGATGAGACAACTCCTACAACAGAAGTCCAACATATGATATTCACCACTTGACTACTTCCAACATTGAATATGCACAGCCGAAGTATGCACTTTATTGCACAACATAAGAAGTAACAGATGGGCACCATTCTCTCCGACCAGATACACACGCACTTGAGCAAAAACGTGAGCAATAGGCTCAGTTTTCTTACTTGTTTTCACACCCTAGCACGCGTAAGCGTAAAATAGAACGCATTTCGGTTGCTTTGGTTGGTTTGGTTGGTTCGGTTTTTCTTGCTTTTGGTGCACGATGTTGCATCGAGGGGGGGAATGTCAGGCCGACTGAATCATAATGCTGTAGCGATCCCCTGACGTCTTGGCCTTTCTCGTTGGTATCACTTCAGGCTGTGAGAACCTAAGAGTTTGGCTGAATGTCTACGATCTGAAGCAACCAAAGTGATCCCTGTGCATGAATGTCAATGAAGTTACTAGGTCCAGCCGTATCGTGCATCTTTTCCACTTGAATCACCTGCGTCCGAATCCATGAAGATGAATATCTTGCAAACACATGAAACCCTACGAAACCCGTATGAAATCCAATGCAACGATGAAACAGCTAAGCCACAAACTTGCGATGATGGTGCTCCATCCTTGCCATGATTTCACTACTGACAAGGGCTCCCTTGGGGCAATAGCTTGATAAGCTTCGCGACCAATGTGTCGGTAGATTTGTGTCCCAATAAGCTGGCACTAGATCGCAGCTATAATCATGAAGAACATCAAGGTGTCTTCTTGTAATGAAAGAAGACTTTAATACAAATACTTCGCCTCATCCGTAATGAGACAATTTTACAGGAGAGCGTGACAAAAGGGCAGTGTGAATAAGCAATTCTACAGTCTGATGATGGCGAGAGATGAACAATACTCAATAGCCCTGGGAGAGCAGTATCTCCAGGCCCTAAAAGGGGACGATGACCAAAAGGCGATGTTTCTTTGCTGCTGGCGCTGTAGGCCGTCCAGCTGCGCTATCCTCTGCACGGGTCGGCTATTCTGCAGGGGCCGGCTGTTGCAAGTTGCAAAGCAACTAGTCCTCAATGATTGAATTTGAAATTTAGAAAGACGAAGAATGATGTCACTACTCCTACTTCCACTTTGGGTACACAACTACTAGTACTACTACAAGAATGACGTAACTGTTCTTGCTTTCGTCATTGTTGTGATCTAATATGAGTGAGTATGTAACTAAACACGAGCATATCGAAAGTGGAGCATTACTAAAGTGAAGTTTGATAGCGCATCGATATTAGGACTTACTTTTTTCAAGTGGACAGGAAATTATCGTGAAGAGATGTATGATTATCGTGATCAAGTTAAGTGAAGAGGACAGGAAATTATCGTGATCAAGTTACTCTTACTTCAAGTGCTTAAAGTACTTTGTAGATGAAAAACAAGTAACTTCTGCATGGATACCCGTAGCACTAGCCTTAAGTTCTGACCCACTGCCGCTGCCTCCTCCTCTTCCTCCTCCACCGTAGTTTCCATAGTTCTGATCTTAGAGCTCACGCATTATTTTCTCAGCGCATATGATGTGAGGTGTACAAACGAAAGCTCAACTACGGCGTACTACTAGCAAATAGCAGCTAGTTATGAAACAGTTCTTGAACCGTTTAGCACCTATAAAACAGTTTACTACTAGGCAGTAGCAGTATGTCAGTTCTTAAACCACTTGCTTCTCCTTAGACATGGATAAGAGAAACTACTAAAGAAGTCAGGTTGTACACGCTTCCACTTCTTAGACATGCAATGGTGCTGGTCAGTTTGTAGTTTAGTTCCATATCTTCTACTTCTAATATTACTAAGTAACTAGGCACCGTCGATATATTACTTCTCAATATGTTGTATTAATTGAGCTTTTTAACAAGTTGCTGGTGGGACGATAGTTGTGTCCTCGATGGCCTGTTCTTCTTCAGTCATCAGCACAATGCCTTAACGTGACCCACCCGAGATGGATGTGGAAACTCCACTTAAACATGATTTCCAAAGCCCTTTTCCAAAGTCTTCGGCCAAATGGCCACACGAGAGTGCACTTCGTACTTTGCTCGGCCGTTGCAAGGCTTGCTGCATCAACAGAGAACCGCGCGACATCTTTTCTTGAGTACCGTGACGAATCTTACTTCAAACAAACTCTACAAGAACCAGACGACATTTTGTTTCTGAGCACAACTGCTTCAAGACCGCTAAAAATACAATCGAAGAGCTTCTTATAATCCGGAGCTTCTTATAAATATCGTTATTAGGAGCTTGCTCACTTTCTGGGAGAAATTTGTCTGCTCAGAGTGTGTTTTAACCTGTTTTTAGCCTCAAGAACCGACCAATAAAGGAGTAGATACCGCTGGTAAGCATGTGAACACATTCACATCACTACTTTGTAGGTAGAATCAATATTCTTGAGTGAAGGAAGACACCCTTGACATGGTCAGTTTCAGCGTGACTATAGGAGCTCCTACTTCTTAGCAGAAGTGCATGATGAAACAGTCTCAACAGGCTAATCTTGAGCAGGAGAGAGCGAGAGGAGATGGTTAGGAAGAGGGGAGGGTTGGTGGCATGTCAGATGAAATCTTCTAAGCAAAAATGAATGGCAGCATTCATCTGGTTGGTGGCATGTTGTCAGATGAAATCTTCTAAGCAAATGAATGGCAGCATTCATCTGGTTGGTAGCATGTTGTCAGATGAAATCTTCTAAGCAAAAATGAATGGCAGCATTCATCTCATCAACTTTTCAGGTGTAGTCCTTAGCTCGAAGACTGATGAAAGAACGCAGTAGCGTTCTCATCTATGGTGGCTAGCGTAGTTCCTTGTCCTTGCGCTTTGCTTCCCTCCATTCCGAATCCAAGGTCTGTCAATGCGTCGCATTCTTCTCCTACAGGAGGAGGAGCAGCGTGAAACTCTCGAAGCAGCGTCGAACCAGGAGCATCGTCCTTGCCTCTGTTGGGAGGTCCCGCATCTGCTAGTAGAGGACTTGAGGATTTCTTTGTAGTTTTCTTTTTCTTCATCTTCGACGACGACGAAGAGGAGGAGCAGTCAGCCTCTGCGAGAGCTGTTGAAGACCTCTTGGCTTGCCGCTTACTAGTAGTACCTACTTCTTTGGAAGGTGCTTTTAAGGTAGAATCCTCCGCTTGGAATTCAAGGCCAGTCAAAGCATCAAGTTCATCAGAGTCATTAGAAGAAGACGCTTTTTCGTATTTGGTAGAAGACGACGCGTGTTTACTTCTAGAACCTGCCCGTCCCTCACCTACGCATTCTACTGCGGCTTCGTCTCCCATCGCTTCGGTTGCCTCGCCTCCTATTAGAGACGTTGAAACTACTTGGTCGTGTGGCTCTACTACATTCTTCATCTGTTCATCTTCATGATTTTTGACAGTCGTGTAGTTGTCCTGTTCTTGCGCATCGACAGTGTTGTCTTGATGCTCTTGTTCACTGTCATCCGGCATCAAGTTAGCCTCTACTTCCTCAGCATTATCTTCGTCCCACCATTCGAGTACGCCGAGGCCATCCCCGTTGCATGAGCATATTACTTTCATCAGCACTCCATTGACGCCAAATTGAATCCTATTGACCCGCACCCGAATTATTTTCCCGACTTCGAAAGTGAGCGCCTCTACTTAGTAGAGGTTGAAAGTTGGCCCCTCTCTAGTAGGTCGCATGTGTGTCTATGGTTTTCCTCACCATGAAGAAGACATATTTATAGACGCTCTACTTAGATGTTGATAGGCCAACTTTCAAGCCTTAATCTACGGCGTCAGTCCTTTCCTCCGTTGTCTCAACGTACTCAGCTTGTAGATAGTCCCAAGCCCAGCAGCCTTGGGCTCCATCCTCACTACGTCCATGCTGCTCACTAGTTTGTTTAGAGCCAGCTGCCGCGCATGCATGCTGGTGTCACCTGAGCGTCCTATCCTTGGCTTCGTTTTCAAGTAAAGAGCCAAGGACGATCATTGGGTTCAGGACATGCAGCAGCGTGGTTAGCCTTAACTTGTGTTGTCCAGCGACACGGCTTCTGCAGCATATCTGGCGGGATGTAGATGTGGGGAAACCAGTCTCCAAGAGACGCACGGATGCCACCTTGCGGACACTGCTTCTTGATGCAGACCTCCAGTATGGTACCTTTACTAGGTCTGAACACGAGCAGCCGAAACTTCACTGTGAAATATACAAGATGCTCGGTTCGCACACCCTCTGACCTCTGAATAATGCCAGCATTTTGGCTGCAAATCCGCTCCACGGCGATGCCTGAAGGTAGTGAGTAGAGTACGCACAGTAGAGTAGGCACCAGTAAGATTTTTGTCAACTACTGACGATAGAGACGACGATGCCTGTTAGTGAGTAGAGAATCGGTAGCATAAAGCAACCACGACTGAGCCGGAACAGTAGAAGCAGCATAGAGCATCGAGTGAGCAATACTCTATCCTTAAAGACCAGCAGACTGCGTTTAGCGTGGGAGAATCTTGTTTTGTAAATTATAACGTAAGATTTGGTCGTAGTACCAAGGCCACATTGCGGAATAATTTTTTTGGCATATTTCGCATTGAGTTTTTGCTTCAGCAGAGCATGAAGTTGTTCTTGTTGGTCTTCAGGATGTAGGAGCTCGGTCGGCTTCAAGGCCACCGTATCTCGTAACTCAGCGACGTGGAACATGCTGCCAATGGTGCCAGGCTCGTTGCGGCCTTGCTGATGATTCGAATCTACACGGCAGCTTGCCTAAGATGTCTAGCAGGTTCCGTTGCCTACGGCTTCGATTGATAGTCAATATTCCTCGACGCACCAGATCCAACACCGATCATCCCTGGATGCGGTTGTAGTAAGTTGTGACTTCGCTCTACTCTGCGGTCGTTGATCGAACTCTTTCTCTCCCCCTTGCTGGAGACGTCCATGGCCCTTTTTACCCGCCGCGATCTGATCTCCGCCTGCGGATAGAAGAGACTCGAGTCGTCGTATCTCTGATCACCGATTGAGCCTAATAAAAACCTTGATCAACTTGTTGGGGGATTTCCACTCCTTCGCGAGTTTTTCAGCAACGCTGAACCAAAGCCGAATGAAGCATCAAGGTGGATGAAATGCGGCATGTTTTCTGATCTTCGAAAAAGTTGAGCTGTTTAACGTGGGTCTGTGAAGCCATAGGTGAAGCTGTAGATGACGGCATTGAATGAATCAATTAAATTCTTTACTAACATTCTTGAATCGGTCGTAGTAGTACAGTCTGATTGTTTGTGTTTTTAGATGCTGGAACCGTAGACTATCAAGTAATATGATATCGAGCCGTTTGTTACAAGACCAGCGATCCGTGGTGAAGTTGACGTCATGATAAGTGCGTCCTATCTCATATGATCTCCAACCACACTGCTGGAAAGGGCCAAGCCATCTGGTGTTAGGTTAGGTTGGGGCCCACCATCCGACGCGGCAGACTTCGGCCACTACTGAAGAGCCTAGCCTGTTCCTTCGTTGTCAGAGATGTCTAGCTAATTCCGAGGCATTCAGGGGGCAAGAGGTGGGCAAAAAAGGGAAGGCCGCATGTTATAGCACAGCGAAGGTCTGGGCTCAACGCGGACCATCGCAGTAACTTCTTCTAATCATTATCCCGCCCACAAAAGACAAGCACGAGCAAGCTAAAGCGGAACGGGCCTCCTTTCGGAGAATGTCGAGGCTGTGCCTGAGTACGCCCATGCCCTTGACCATCTTCCGAGCTGCAGCGCGCAGCGCTGGCGTAACTTTCAGCCCCCTCGCTTTGAGGCGCCCGAACACTGGCGGGGTGTATTGTTGGAGCGCATCCCGGTAGATTTGGGGAATCTTGTTCGAAAAACGCCGCCCCGCGTCGCAAGCCCTCAGCGTGGCTTTGTACTCCAAAAGGGTCGGGATGTGGTAAGCCACTCGCTTCCTACCTTTGTTTTCGTGGTACAGCCCGGCGACCACCTCGTGGGCCGCCTCCGTTTTTCCCTCACGAACTTCCCGCGTTCCGCCATACTGCCCAAAGACAGCAAGCAAGACGAACCCACCAAGCAAGAGCGCGGCTTTTTTCTGTGCGTCCTGCTCTGGGCCGTCCTCTCGCCCGACACCAGTTAGATAGTCTGGCGCTGCAGCCAGCAGTTGGAACAGCATAGAAAATTAGAAAAGTGAAAACCTTCAGACTGAGACAGACACCACCACGACGAGAAAGACCACCCCAGGGCACCCTCGGGGCACTGCCTCCAACGAGATCAGACAGGCAGCGCCTGCGCCTCGCCAAATGAGACCAGACGGCCCGCCGGCTGATCCCGAACAAGCAAGAAGCCCCAAGCCCAAGCGGACTACCAGACTCGAGCCTCGCTCGAGAACAGCGCGAGGCCCGTTCGAGATCAGACGCGCCCGCCCTGATCTGGAACGAAGCTGAAGCTTTCGCCCCCAGTCTCGAACGAGACCAGGGGCACTCCCCAGCCGCGATCTCGAACGAGACTGGAGCGCTCACTCGGCGTCTCGAACGAGATCACGAGTGCTCGCGCTCCCTGATCTGGAACGAAGCTGAGGCTTTCGCTTCCAGTCTCCAACGAGATCAGAGGCACTCACAAGCCGCGATCTCGAACGAGACTGGCGCGCCCACTCAGTGTCTCGACCGAGATCAGGGGCACTCGCGCTCCCTGATCTCGAACGAGGCTGAGGTCTTCAGTCCCAGTCTCGAACGAGATCAAATGCGGCACAGTGCGATCTCGAACGAGGCTGGAGAACTCACTCCCAGTCTCGAACGAGGTCCGGGGCGCTCGCCCTCCCCTGATCGCGAACGGGACTCGGGATCTCGTTCCCTGTCTCGAACGAGATCAGGGGCACTGGTCCGCCGCTATCTCGAAAGAGGCTGACGCTCTCCTTCGCCGTCTCGAAAGAGATCAGAAGCGCTGGCCCTCCTTGATCTAGAACGAGACTCGGCGCTCGTTCCGTGTCTCGAACAAGATCAGACGCACGACCCCGAGTGCCGACCTCGAACGAGACTCGAGGCCACGGCAAGCCACCAGTCTCGCATGAGATCACAAGCTCCGACCACTGACCTCGAACGAGACTGGAGGTCAAGGTACGTAGACCCGTGTCGCAGAAGAGAAAGCAAGCCCCGACCACTGAGAACGAACGAGACTGGGGGCCAAGGTAGGGCCCCAGTCTCGCAAAGGCTGACAGGTCCCGACTACTGATCTCGAACGAGACTGAGCCCTAACGCAAGCTCCCAGTCTCGCAAGAGTTGACAGGTCCCGAATGCTGAAGACCTCGGACGAGACTGGGGGCCAAGGTAAGCCCCCAGCCTCGCAAGAGATGACAGGCCCCAGCTACTGACTTCAGACGTGACTGGCCCCAGTCTCGCAAGAGATGACAGGCCCCGGCTACTGATCTCGGGCGAGCCTGGGCGCCAAGGCAAGCCCCCAGTCTCGCAAGAGCCAACAAGTCCCGACGGACTGCTGGCCTCGAATGAGACGGAGGGCCAAGGTAGGCCTCCAGTCTCACAAGAGGCGACAGGTCCCGACTACTGATCTCAAAAAAGACTGGGGGCTAAGGCAGGCTTCCAGTCTCGCAAGCGATAACAGTTCCCAACTACCGATCTCGGATGAGACTGCGGCCCAAGGTGGGCCGCCAGTCCTCTCGCAAGAAGTGATAGGTCCCAAGCAGTGACCTCGCACGAGACTGGGGGCCGAGGTAGGCCCCCAGCCTCGCAAGAAGTGACAAGCCCCGAGTACTGAGGGCCAAGGTAGGCCCCGAGTCTCACAAAGAAGAGAAGACAGGCCCCGCCTACTGATCTCGGGCGAGGCTGGTAGCTTCCTGACTAGTCTCCAAGAAGGTCGCAAGACTGCCCGCGCATCTCTTTATTGGCCGCAGGGGTAACTTCCAGAAAGATGAGGCGCCCGGCCGCCTACAGAAACCCAGTCTCGAGCACAGTTTCTGCAGGCACCCCACCCACAGCCTCACCCTGAGCAGCAAGCCGGGCCGCTTAGCTTCGTGGCCCCTCAACTAAGGTAGTTCCTCCGTATCAGACAATCTCCGCGGGCCGCTGACGTTCATACACCACCCGAAATTTCTGCAAGTTCTCCGACACACTGCGCACCGCCGCCCGTGCAGCAGAAACAATAGAACCCAGGCTCCCAAAAAGCGCGCGACGGACAGACCTAAATGCCGCGCTGCGCATCATGGCGAGCGCTGGCCTTCCAATGGCTTCACGCTTCCGCTTTTCTCGGTCGTCGCAGCCTTGCCGTCTTTGCCGGGTCTTTTCTAAAAAGTGGCGCCGGAATCCTTACGCTCGATTTCCAAAGATGTAAGCGGATCAAAGGACCTCCAAACTAAATAAACTGCGTACGTTTTGAGGTAGTAAGTCGACCACTTAATTTCTAAGGAATTCCACCCGCATCCATTCGGGCCCCTGAATGTTGAGCCCAAGCAGCTAGATTTCTGGCGCTGTTCTAGCGCTGACGTTGCAAGATCCTACCAAATTCCTTGCCGAATCTGACCAAATTTAGAACCCGCAGCGAATCACTTGCGTTTGTTTATAACAGTCTCTTGCGCATAGTCAGCCAAGGATATGGACAGGATTGAGATTCTTGCAACTCCATTAATCCTCGAGGATTGGGATTAGAATTCAGTCCGCCGCCCACAGTTTTACCTGCATACTCGAGCGGATTGACGCAGCCGTAGAAGGACTACAATGTTTTACGGTCAACAATTATATGGTCAAAAAGAATAAATATGGAGGGGATTGAAACACGCCTCATGCTTGCAGCAGGAAGGAAAACCCATAAGGGCTAGATTTCCAGCTCTTGCGACCTAGATAGTGCTGTCATGATCCATCAAACCCATCACGAGAAGGATCATATGAAATAAGCTTTTTATGGTTATAATTCATGCCGTGCTTCTAGGATCAAATGACGGGATCGCTCTCATCATCTAAATTGTGATTTTCAAAATTTAGACTCAGATTTGACCGAATTGTGGTACTTACAACGAACCTCGATCATGTTGAGAACAACGTGCAGATCCTTGCGTGTTCGCCATTAATTATGCGTTGAACATCCTCGCATGTGTCTTCGTGTTGTCTTAGAATTCATTGATTGCTTGCCTTGATTGCGTGGTTGTTTATTGATTGCGTGTTTGCTTGTTTGTATATATAAGTATTTGATTGCTTGCTTGCTTGATTGTGTATTTGCTTGATAATTGCTTGCTTGTTCATCTGATAGTCGAAAAAGATAACAGAAGAGGGATTCACTTGTTGTTATAATCGAATCACGAAGAAAGAAATACGTGCTACCAGTCCTACATCTGATCTAGGCAATATGCTTATATGATCATACTGGTACACTGAAAAAGACGCAAAGCATTCATCTACGTAGTGCAAGGAATCATTGATTTATCTCTATACATACTAACCGAAGATACCAGCAGCAGCTATGTAGAGTGAGAGCAGGTCCAGGGTAATCGAGTTACCGTCTAACAAGACGGCGATATCTTCAAGAAAACAAATTTAAAACATTCTTGTGATTACTTCTGCAGTCTACAGTAGTTAGCTGAGGTTTGATCACGCTAGTCCGCCTGGACGCTACCGAAGGTTGAATTCAGTGGGTCGCTGTGAAAATCGTCACTGTTTTCACCCTCATGCGCTGACATCAAACTAGCATGATCTTCATGTTCGTCTGCACTGACGATTTCGTCATCATGTTCGTCTGCACTGACGATCTCGTCGTCAGAGGATGTCATCTTTTTCGCATTACCTAAATCTTGATTATCAGAGAGACGATTTGTCGCATCTTCATCTGCGTCTTCCTGTTGTTCGTCACCCACTAGAGGTAGGGTAGAAGGCGGCGCCACGGCCTCCACCTCTGACAGACTAGCAGAGGCATTCCCCTCTTCACTCTTTGCAGCAGGAGAGTCGCCAACGGCTTCTGGAATGTCCTGTGGCTTAGTACTTTCCATTCCCTCTCTCTGTAGTCCCTCTCTTTGCAGAAGCGGCTTCCCGTCTTCGAGTACCGTAGTTTCTATTGCCTCTTCTTCTTCTTCTTCTTGTGCCGCAGGACCTTTTTCCTGCCCTTCTTGTGGGCGTTGTGTCTCTTGAAGTGGAGATGGCTGCTTGGCTTCCGGATCTGACGTTTCGACCTCTGTACCTTCCAAAACCGTGGCTAGATGCACGTCCCTCCCATCGTTAGAGCAGCCCACCCTAATCCATCTCGAGGCGCATCCTAGGCGACTTTTCCCCTTGAAAAGCGGACTCTCCAGGATGTTGTCTTTCAAAAAGATGGACTAGGGAAAGCCTTAACATCGTCTTGCACTGAAAAATCATCCTCCTGAAAGGCATCCTCCTGAAAATGTTCCGCAATGGGGGGTGGCCTCGGATCGTCATGCTCATCGCTGTCGAAAGGCGTTGTGATCCTCTTGTTCACTGTAGTTGATACTTCCTGATCATGTAGAGCTTCATCTTCCTCGTCTACTTCAGAAGCTTCTTCACCTTGTTCCTCTACTTCAGAAGCTACTTCATCTTGCAGCTCTTCTTCTTCCTCTGTGTCCTCTGTCTCGTCTGTGTGGTCGTGGTCCTCATCCTCCCCTTCTAGCTGGAGGTGTATCCCACTGCCTTCAAAACGTGCCATGGATCCTCTATACAGGAGGTCTCTTTGATCTACGCGTCCCGCGTAAGGATCGCGCTCACTAGTATCACCTTCTGCTTCTTCAGTACTAGATGATGAACCTGCTTGGCGTGCTTGGCGTTCCCGTTCCCGTTCGCGTTCTCTCATTTTTGTGGTATAAAAATCTGGCGTAGCTGCACTAGCTCGTGGGCCTGCTGTTGTATTTGGGCCGCGTGCTCTTACAGAAGGAGAATGGCACTTTCTAGCTGTGCTTTGCCTCGCAGTTCTTGGCACATATCTTGCTACAGACGAAGTACCAGTAGCTCTTACTCCTGTGTGTGAAGTAGAAGAAGCACCAGTTGTAGCTCTTACTCCTGTGTGTGTTTCTAAGTACTTTTTAGCCTCTTCCTGAGCGTCCAGTTCTGCTGATTCGGCAATCAATTTTCGTTCTAATTAGAGCTCAACCTAATGTTGATTCATTTCTTTGGGCAGTTCACTACTTTCTGAGAAACCTAGGAAGGAGAGTAAAAAGAGGAACAGCAATTTAAAATCTCGTTGTAACTACTAGTATCATAATATGAAAGAACTATTTGCAATGTGAATGTGGAAGTGAGTCACTTTGAGCCTTAATCTAACGCTTTTGCCCTGTTCCAGCGAAGTCGGCGGTCGTGCATCCGACTCGCGCGCTCCAGCCGCGCCTCATCCTCCCGTGCCCTGCGGAGTTCTCGCGTGTCCTCCCGTTGCAACGACGTGAACAGTTGCCGACAATAAAAAAGTATCACACCTGCATCCAGCTCTCCGGTCAACGATGGCGCTGATTCATCTGTAGAAGCTGTTGTACTAGTATTTTTATCACAACTACTAGAAGCAGTTCTTCTAGCAGAAGCAGGATAATCTCCCATGGTAGTTGTCGTTCGTCGTCCCTCAATGTTTTCCTCGAGCAAAGTCCTCTGTTTCTCGTTGTAATCCCGTGTCCAGGCAAGAACCAACTCTTCAACCTGCATTTCCAGCATCACTGCCTTGAAATTGCGGCTGGAGGAAGAGCCACTCCGACTCGCCGGCTCTTGCGTGATCCTGGCAATCTCCGCCACAAGCGGGCGCAAGTGCACTCTCCCACTCCGCAGTGCTTTCAAAGTGCGGGCACTTGCTTCCCTGTTGTTCTTTGCGGCAACGTCGCTCCGCCGACTCGCAGCAGACACCATGGAGGATCGGATATCCGAACTTCTTCTATCCGCAGCGCCAGAAGATATCGCGCCACACACTTCCTCTCTCCCGCCGAGCAGCTGTAGTTCCTCCACCTCATCATCCACGTCTCCCTTGTTAGCAACCACGAGCTTCTGCCTGGGGTCCCCAAAGTCCTGTGGTAAGCGAATGAAGGCATGCGCTCCACCTGCACGCTGCGACAGGGCTCGCGTGCCACGAAGGTCTTCGTGGAGTAGGTCCAGGTGTTGCTGTACTATACTATTTTTCTTAGACCTTATATCGATATTCATCTTGGGAAGCGTCTTTGACCTAGTATATTCCCATCTAGAAAGTGACATCTTTGCTTGACCTATTTTTTCCCTTGAAAGCACGCCAAAGATGCCTCCCAAGATGAATTTAGAAGAAGTAAGCCTTAATTTTCTTTCTCAGTGTGCTCCACGTAGTATCACTAGAGGCAACTGGTGAAGAAGCTGGGGATATAATCTTCTTGTTGCCTCCTGTTGTCGTGGTTCTGGCAGCACTACCACTAGAAGTCATTTGTTTTGTCTTCATTCCCGTATTTGAAGCCATTTGTTTTGTCTTTGTGTTTGCAGCATGAGCTCGTAGCACAGTTTTTGAATATCGGCTACTCTGTTTTGCAATTTCTGCTGACGTGGCATTTAAAATTTGGTCCAGAGGCAGTTGCAGTGCTTGCAAAGGCAGGTTATCATGAGGCCTCTCGTGGGAGCGTGGCGTACAGCACATTTTGCCCCGTGGGGAAGTCACCAAAGGCGTACGTGGGGTAACCAAGGTCCGCGGCGTGAAGCCAGGGGATCCAACGCCGGTTTTCGGCGTCTCTCTTAGCGCTACCGCGTGGCATCTTCCTTGACGAGAGCCATATCCTTGGAGCCTTCTTTTTCCTCTAGACCTTGAAAAAGAAGCCAAGGATGGCGTTGAGGATGCTTCAGCGGTACTAGCCTTAACTCTCGTCCACTTTTTTTGGAACTAACTGCTCTGGTCGCACTGCCTAGTAGAAGTTCGGTCATACCGAGATCCGGACCATAGGCGTCCCCTAATTTCTTGACTACCTTATTCGCTGTATTCGTGATGTACTGCTGTTCCGCGGGTGTGAAGGTCAGTGTGCGGATTGCGGGAGGGCCATTCGGATTCCCCTGATTGGCGCCACGCACGTCGTCGTCCGCACCAGTTCTCACGTCCGGAGCGAAATGGAGGTGGTCAGTCTGATTCTCTCGCACGTAGGAGAACGGGTCGTGTCGATACTGCAATCGAGCTGACAAAGGTGGAGACTGCTCCTCGGAGTTAGACGTTACCTACCTAGTAGATTGATTCTTCATCTTCTTGAAATAAAGCAGTTTATCTAAAAACCTCTATATTCAGTTTTTACCTAAAACAAGATATAATAGGCTCGATGGTATGACAACAGTACTTCTGACCCTGTACTTGAACAAGATATAATCAAACTAACTACTTACTAACCCCGGGCACTTACTTACACGAAGTCGAGGCAGGTAGTTTTTACTTAAATGTCTGTATGGTTTGAGAGAGACTACTTACTCTACTAATCCTAGTTTTTACTTAAATGTATGTATGGTCGTTTGAGAGAGACTAGTCTATTAATTCACATCACGATGAACTTCTACGGTAAGCCTTAACAGCGACGCCACCTGAGGAGCCTGAGCGTCTTGAAAGCGCAATACGTTCTACGAAGGGCCGTTTGCGAAATAGCGTGTTCACTAGAGAAGCTTCACTTTCTTCATTCTTTTCGTCATTTTCGTCCACAGGAGCTGCCAGTGTGGACTCGTGGGAATGAACATTGTGCCAAAAGGTTTCGGGTTTGGACATCCCTGTCCTTCTTTTGGAGGCCTGCGACAGCGTTACCTCATACTCTGGCCTCATGCTCTGGGAAAAAGCTCCTACGCTCGACGTAGGTGCTGCTCCCCCTGAAGATGGCGCAACTTCTCCCCCTAGTGATCCACCTAGGAGTCCTTGTTGAGCGCCGGGAAGAAGACTCATACTAGTCGAGTTCATGTTTGATGTCCGAACTCCTCGTGGACTATGTGACGAGTACGGGTCCACATCCGAGGGACGTCGCCTGATATTCACATTACTGGTGATCAAAAGCGTACTGTTGCTGCGGGAGCTCGTACGCCCACCCCCACGCAGCTTTGGCCCATCTGATGTAGGCCTTTGCCGATCTTCTGGCTGTGATGAAGAGTCAGATTCTACTTCCTGAGCAGTAGTTGTAGTACGTTGGACGACATCACCGCTAGCGACTCCGACTGCCAGAGAACTACAAGTTGTAATGTTGTCTAAAGGTAGAGCCTCTCCCGCAGCCATAGAGCCACTAGTTGTAGTAATGTCATCTCTTACTACAACGGGTTGTACTAGAGGGTCTTGCTCTACTCGAACAATAGCGCCTCCACCAGATTCTAGTTCAGCAGGGTCTTCATGATTGGTTTTCATACTATGAATGCCGCCTATTTTCGGACTATTGTGGTTCGGCACGTGTACAGTTTCACGAGCAGCTTCTTCTGGAGATGTTGGATCAATGATAGATGACACCGCTGACTGCTCCACTTCTTGTTGAGCAGTATGCTCAGTTGTCATCTGATATGTAGTGCTGTTAGATGACATAGATGACAGCGCTGGCTCGCCGACAGGAGTTGGAGTACTGGTGCGGGAAGTAGAAGTGGGGTCTCGGTGATGCTCTTCTATGATATTATGAGGTTCGGTGCTGGCTGCCTGCTGGTGTGTGACGTCTTCGACATGCTGTGTCATGTTCGTCTCAGAAGTACTATCCTGGTGTCCTGCTGTTGTAGCGCTGCTGTGCGCAAAAGTTTCAGTGTGTTGTCCTCCTAGAGGGCTGTTGTGCGTAGGTTCAGTATGCTGTCCTCCACCTCCAAGAACAGTAAGGCTTTGAGTATGCTCGTTTAGTCCTTCTGCTACAGTAGTGGCGTGATTATACCTGGCTCCATACGTGGCCGTTCCTATAATTAGACTAGCGTCCTCGTGTCCTTGTGTGTGGCTCCCTGTAACTGTATGACGGGGTCCTATAATAGAAGTATGTGGATGTTGACCAATATTGGAGGTCATAGACTCGCCCACAGCTCGTTCGTGCGCACCCTCACCTTCGTGCGGAGCTACAACTTCATGCGCAACCGCTTCCTGCAATTTGGACAGTGTTAAGTCCAGATCTCGCTTTAATCGATCCAACGTGCTGACCAGATCGCCTCCCTCGATGTTGTGCATGTGTTCTGCAGGTGAAGAAGTACTAGCCTCAACAGTCGTGGTTGTCATCTCCCTACTAGAAACTCCAGGTAAGGAGCCTTGGTCATTAGTTTCTGAGAGGCGTTTTAACATGTTGTAGTTACTTTTACTAGCAGTTCTACTATCTTCTAATGTGCTGGCAGTAGTAGTAGCAGCAGCAGTAGCACCATCAGCAGCATCTTCTAATATGGAGGTATTCTTATTTTCTGCAGTTGCACTACGACTACCTTCTGTTTTAGCGGCCGGAAAAAAAGAGACCCGACGCGTAGAAGTGTCAGCCACCTCATCTCGCTGTTCCCGTGGGTTGATGTTGCTCTTGTGCGACTTGGTTTTCTTTTTGGAAGACGAGGATGTTTGAGTCGTAAAAGGCGTGCCAGGAGCTTGTGAAGTAGCGTTATTCGCGATCCGTTTTAGTGCGTTTCTCATTACGGTCTCACTGCGGACCAGTGTCAAGGGCATTCCATGCAAGTCTCTAGCTATTTCCTCCGCCGCCTCAGCCGCGCGGTCGTAGCCCAGAGCAGCATGGGGCAAGAACGCACATACGGCTAAAAGGGCACTTTGGAAATTCTCGAGATTTTCTTGGATCTCGCTTTCGGCGACGTCGCGAATCGATAGGAGCGGAGCGGATCCGCGGAACAAGGCAGGGTAAAGCCTGTTTTCAGCGTACTGCTTTAGGCGCTCGATCGTAACTCCACGATGGGTGTTCGCTAAGAGCAGCGAATATTTAGCGTTTTCCTCCTCTTCAGCCATGGCTTCTGCTGCCGCAAACGTACTGTTTCGTGGAATACTAATGGTCGTCGAAGTACTAGAAACTCCTGAACTGGCTGTATTTGTACTAAGTCGCACATTTCTTCTAGAACTCCTGGTTGTACTACTACTAATAGCCGGTGCGAAGTTCATCTTTGACACAATCGTCCTAGGCACCGTTTCTCCTTCTGGGGCCAACATGTTGTTTAATAGAGCAGGATTGACGAACGTGCGTCCATTGAAAACGTGCGTCTTTTTCATACGTATGTTGGATCCTATAATATCTCCTTCTTCATTTTCGCTTGCTGAAGTAGAACTACTACGGTCCTCTGTGTGCCTCGGGCCTAGGGTCCTGTCAGTGCGTCCAGCGCCCGTGCGTCTATCATCCTTCATTTGCCCTCCCTCACCTTGAGAGTCATCTAGGTCTTGGTCAAAACGGTACCCAATATCGTCATCTTCCGTTTCCTCTGAAAATGGTTCTAGCGTCGCCAAGGTGAGTTCCATCAGGCTACCAGAGCCACTGCCTTTTGAGGACCTAGCATTTCTCATGCAGTTTTTCTCCAATACAGCTGCTATGGCACGGCGAATAACCGCCGTCGTGCTGGAAGAAGTATTGGGGGGCGCCAGGTTAAAATTGTATGCGCTATAGGCGTCATCTTGGCGCGTCTGCTTCTGAAACTGCACTAGTTCAGACTGGCGTCTATCAGCTGCATGCTCATTAAATCTAGGACTGTAGCTGCGAGGACTACTCATCCCTAGAGCGGTGCTTGCAGGGCCACGGGAGAGCGGAAGACTATTGACCTTTACGCCATTGGAAGATGAAATCCCAAATGGGTTTTTCTCCAAGACGCGAGTCTTTGCTCTCAACCGTGCTCTATCCGCTGCTGCCTTGCGCGCCTCCTTGCGTCTGCGCTTCAGTTCTGCGGTCATGAAGTCGATGTTCGAGAGGACGAACCCCAGTTGCAACGAAGCATCCTCCAGGTTGGAGAGCCTACGTCTTAGTTCCCTTCCTCGATTGTAGGCTGTTTTCTTGTGCTGCATAGCCGATAGCATGCGCGACCAAATCAGGTCCCGCGCGACTGCCATTCGCAGCCGGCGTGCTTGCTTCAGCATAAAGTCATCATGCAAGGCCTGCAGTCTTGCCTTGTCGACACGCTTGGGCGCAGCAACCACAGGAACTAGAGCTAGGTGCCGTTTCTTCTTCCTCTTTCGCTTCTTTGCACTAGAACAAGTAGGATCTGTTCCAGTCGTTACTGCTGCAGTGCCTCCGTCACCACCTGTAGCAGTGCCTCCTGTAGTAGCTGTGCCGTTGACATCATTCAGTTCATCAGCATCGTCTTCCTCATACTCTTCCTCTTCTTCACTGTCTTCCTCCCCTTTCTCTTTCTTCTTTTCCTCGTAGTCGACACGTTGGCGTAGCCACGCGAGATGGCGCTTCTGCTCTGCCATTTGCATGCGTGCGTGAAGCACCTTCTGTCCGCTACCCTTCGGCGCTAAAGGATCCACATATTAGAAGAAGGCCTTGAGCCGAATGCGAAGACCTTTTAATTATAGTCAAAATCAGAAGAAAGCCTTGAGCCTAGTACGAAGACCTTTTAATTATAGTCAAAATCCTTGTTCATCTCGAGAAGATGCCTCATCTCAAAGAAATGATGAATTACATGAACTATATCTAATAGATTCTATAGGAGCGCCATCCTCGACAAGGAATAGGAAACAACAAGGAGCCTTAACATTTCGCTGTTTCTTCAGCATGCACCTGCTCGCCTCCACCATAACCTAGGGTGTATCGCTCATGGAGCGGAACCATTTCCCGAAACCGCCGTGTCGCTGTGCCACAGTGTGCCAAGTAGCGCTCTTGAGCCTCCTGGTGTCTTCGCTTTTGCTTCTCTTTGAACTCTTTCAACTGTAATTTCGCTTTCTCTGCAGCTAATTCCGCTCTGCGCTGACGGCGTTCTTCAGACTCACGAAAAAGACGCTCGAAGCCATTCAAATTACTATGTTCCCCCTCTTCTTAGAGCTGTCCGTAAGTCATCTTTCAAGTGCATCCTTGAAAAGTATGGGGGAGCATTCCCTTAGGATACTCCTCCATACGTTTCAAGGATGCGTCCAAAGATGTATTAGGTACAGCCGTAATCTTCACTTTCTTCGTCTTCGTCGTCTTCCTGGTCATCGTCACTTTCAACAAAGGAAGAGACGGTCGACACAGTCGAGTTCTTCTTCAAGGAACTCCCACGTGATCCTTTAGAAGCTCTGTTTTTAGAAAGTCTTCGGTGGTTAGAAGAACTAGAAGTACTTCTGGTAGAAGGTCTGTCTTTGTCCTGTCGCGTTAAGGACTTGGTACTGGATCTTGAAGTAGTAGAGGATAGACGTTTAGAAGTACTCTTTTGGGTCCTTGAAGATGAGCCACGCGTTGTGGTACGAGCAGTGGAGGTGCCACGCATTCCACCTCCTATAAATGAGTCGTCTCTTGCATCATGATCCTCTTCTTGTTCACTATAACCGCCGTCATCATCGTCTCCAGCGTGGTCTCTCTCGTCTGCTTTTTTAGCTGACGTAGTAGACCCCTCGGGACGCCTAGAGAAAGTACTTTTTGTTCCTGCAAGTCGTGGAGGATTCGTCCGTTCATCGTCTTCTTCTTCACCATCTAGATCGCCATCGCTTTCCTCTTCTTCTTCCTCTGATGATGATGAGACATCCTCCTTTCGCCTCTTCAAGTATCCAGCAACATCTGCTGTGTCCCGTTCGGCCAATTCTTGCTCGATTTCGAGGTATTCAGTCGGGTTCAACTTGCCTTTCGCCACTGCTGCATTCAACCGGACTGCCCTCAGCATTTTTCGTCGCCCCATCTCGATTTCCTCTTTCTTTGCGAGGCGGGCGTCCTCACGCAGAGCTTCTTGCCTTTCCCTACGAATAGCCGCCTCCTCATGCAGCTGAAAACAACGCTCGCCAGCCTAGGTTGGAAGGAAAGGAAAACAAGCATACAAATATATTGTAGGATCATGTAGAGATAAAAGCATATTTTTCATGTAGGAAAAGCACATCATGAGATGAAGAGCATATTTTTCTATCGTAAGATCTCGTCAACTACTAGAAGTGGCCACAAGTTAGTAGTAGGGTATGGTGCCAAGCCCAGGTAAATGTGGATAATAACTGGAAAAAGGAAACTACAGAGATGAGAGAAAGTAATTGGAAATAAGAATTGAAGATGAGACGAGATGGAAATAGCCTAATAAGCATGAAGATCATCAGGTGCTCCTTCGGTCTGAGAGTGCTGGAGCGGTGGTAGAGGTGTCTATGCATACGACACAGCACAGGGAAGCGTCGCGTGCACCTCGTCCCACGCATTAATTATCCATTAATAATAAGGCGGACCTCGGTTTTTCTAAGATCAGTATTTCGAAGGAGTAAGAATGTAGAGAGGACTTCAGTGCAACTACGATAATAGGGAAGTACCGGCACTCCTTCTTCCTTGAGTTCTTGAATGATTTGCTTTTGCTTCTCCACACCACGTAGGACTTCTAATTCCGCGTCGTCCGCTGCGGCTTTTTCCTGTCTTTTTCTCTCCCGATCTCGCTCGTATCGTTGTTGTTCAGTATACAAGTGGTGAATCAACTCGAGCTGCTGGACTCGTGTCCTCCTCAGACTGGGAACAAAGGGCTTGATGTCATGATGGTGGTTCTCGGTAGACGAAGAAGGTAATATCGAAGGTTTATTCCCCTTGCCAGGGGAGGCAGTAAGATCCAGGTGAAGTTCGTCTACCTCATCTCCTTCGGCATCATCATCTTGAACATTGGTTAGAGATCTCAACACAACAATTCATCAATCTGCTATTGATTCAATAGCATCTTTGCAGTTCCTAAAGTTAATGAAGCTGAAGGAAACAACAAAGTAAGAAGAAGAGCGACTTTCTTCACCGAGATGAATTATTATCTTGGGTCTTAAGTTGAGATCCTCCTCTCCATCCTGACCTGCTGAGTCGTGTCCTCCTCTACCACCTACGCCGCCTAAGGTGCCTTCGCCTTCTTCGTGGCCTGCATCCTTCAGATCAATGACTATATTGCTTTCTCGGTCTTCCGCCATCCTCGACTCGTCCGCATCCTTGTCGATGATGGTCCTGATTCCCCTTTCCCGACCGCCACGGCCCTGCATAGCATTCTTATTTCTGTTCTCAAGCTCTTGACGAGCCCTAATCTTCTCCTGCTTTTTGATGTAGCGTGCCGTTCGTTCCTGCAGCTCCAGCTGGACCTTTTCGTACGCCATTTGTCTCGCTTTTTCCTCCTCTTCCTGCCGTTCGCGCCTTCGGTTTCTTCGGTCGACAGAATAAGACTCTAGACGAGCCACTAGTGAATCGGTAGAAACGGCGTCCAAGAAAGTATTTTTTTTCTTCTTTTTCTTAGTACCATCGTCTGCTTCGGCGCTGCTGATCTTGCTAGTTGGAGATGACCACGTGGGGGCACTACTTCTAGTAGTATCTTCAGGTGGCTTCCGTGGCGTGTACAACCGATTAACCATTTTTCGAAGAGACTCTGCATCGTGGTGTTTGGGATGTTGAGCCACGACTGTGGAACACTTCGATGCGTCTTCAGAGAGACGGTGTCCAGAAGGAGAGTTACCTGGTGAGGAAGGAGACACCGTTGAAGGAGAAACTGAAGACGGCGCTTCATCTCCACCTTGTTTCCTGTTCTTTCGTCGGGTCAGGCGTTCCCCGGATGCTTTTGCAATTTCAGCCATGTGATTTTGGCGGCGCCGTACCACAGCGGCTTTTTGTATACTCCCAAACGGGCTATCGTGGTCGTGCAAGGAACTTCTAGATTTAGAACTAAGAGAAATCCATCTTGAGCAGCATCTTGGGTCTCGTTTTCCCTTTAAAAACGGGACCAAGATGCCTGTGAAGATGGATTTCTTGTAGCCTTAATAGATAGCCACGACTTGATGGAGCAGTCTGGTCCGTTTAGTTTCTTCTCTGCCTGCGCAATCTGGGTTAGCTCGACATTAGAGCTCACCCCGATCCATCTTGGGAAGCATCTCAGGTCTCTTTTGCCCTTATACGGGACACGACCTTTCAGATGCTTCAGAAGATGGATTAGGGGAAGCCTGCTTAACAACAGAGGCAAAAAGTGCTGCATCCTCCTGGCTCATCCTCCTCCTGCTGTGGTCCTCTGCGTTCAGCTGCTCAGAATGAAACTCCTCTACTATGGAGTCAGGCTCACCTTTAATAGTACTAGAGGTCGTCCTATGAACTACATGGTGATGACGATGCACCCCCGCTGGAGTTGACGCCTCAGGAGCAGAACTTGAGTTCTTAGTCTTTAATACATCGGAGGTCCTGGTGCGATGGTGATGAGCATCTCCTGTTTTAGAAGTCCTATGATGGTGGTGAGGATGCTCTTGCGAGTTGCCTGGCTCCTTATCATCTTCCTTCTTTGACATCCTATGATGGTCCCTCCTTGATGAGTTCCTGCTTGACGAAGTCCTGCGATGTTGCTCCTTAGGTGATTTCTCCGCTTCTTCCAAGTTCACAGAACTAGAAGTAGCATGATAGTCTATCTTGGTAGTGCTAGAAGTCTTGTCTGCGGCCGTACTATTTACACCTGTACTAGCTGTAGGAGGAGGCTGGGAAGAACTCTCGTTTTCCGACGCCGATGATGCGGCGGCGGATGAAGTAGCTGCTGATGAAGTAGCTGCTGAAGACGATGCAGCTGATGAAGTAGCAGCTGACGAGGTTTGCCCGGCGGATGTGGAGACTTGCTGATCACTCGTCGATTGTCGTGCCTTAGACGATACGGACGCTTTTCTGGATCCCGACGTTGGCGATGATCCTCTCTCAAGGGTAGCTCCAGTAGTTGGACTAGATTCTACAACAGTTGCTGCAGCAGTTGGACTAGATTCTACAACAGTTGCTCCAGGAGTAGTTGGACTAGATTTTATAACAGTTGCTGCAGCAGTTGGACTAGATTTTATAACAGTTGGGCTAGAAAATTCTTTGAGATTTGTGGTTCTTGTGTTTGATTTTTCAGCAGTCTGAGTCTGACTCGCTTCAATGGGTGGATTAGAGGACTGCAGAACTTCTCCGGTATTTTCGCCTTCAGCCGCCCGTCGTGATTTAGGCGTGGGGCGTTGCTTAGGCGTGGGGCGTTGTTTCGGAGTAGGACATGATTGTTTCGGCACGACTGCAGGAGCTGTTGTGCTGTCATCTACACACGTATTCGTGTTCGATGGTCCTGGCGAAGAAGCTTCTAAGAATACTGGAATATCCTCTTGTCCTACTGCTTCTGCTGTTACTACTGCTTCTGCACTTTTTGTTTGCCCTGCTTGACCTGCTAGTACAGCTGCATCGTCGACAACAGATGAAGCCGATGCTGCTTGTCCCGGTTCTGCTAGAGCATTTTGGCCGCCTCCTGTCCCTGTGGGTGCTTCTGTGCCTTCTATAAGATTGGGATTACGCTGCTTCGCTACGATGGGACGCTGCTTCGGAACTATCGCCGTGCCGATTCTTTCTATAGGCGATGTGGACGTGTCTTCACTGGAGGCAACGAGTGCTGGTCTGTCCTCAGTGGCAATTGGTCGCGTGGAAGTAGTTTCCATATCCTCTGCCTCCTTATAATTAGGAGAAGATACTACAACAGTTTCATCTTGCTGAGGGTGAGGTACTAGAGGTTCGTCTGTCACAAGAACTTCTCTTTCTATATTAGGTTCGTCTGCTTCTCTTCCAGAAGACACACCCGTTGACTCTTCTGGTCGCTTTGCTTCTGTTTCAGTTCCTTCAACCTCCTCTCCTTCGGGAGGTCCTTCTTGGTCTTGAGCTGCAGTAGAAAAAGTCTCATCTTCCACTGGATTTCCATTTTCGAAAGTCGTGCTGCCATCAGCAGGTTCCTCAAATGCAACTTCTAAGGACGCAACATCTTGAGCATCAGCGTCTTGATCTTCTAAGGACGCAGCATCTAGATCACCAGCATCTTCTAAAACGCCAGCATCTTCTAAAACGCCAGCATCTTCTGAATCACCAGCATCTTCTAAATCACCAGCATCTTCTAAAACGCCAGCATCTTCTAAAACGCCAGCATCTTCTAAAACGCCAGCGCCAGCATCGTCCACCACAGCTTCTGCAGCAACATCCTCAGACGACGAAGGCTCGGTGGTTCCATGATTGCCCTCTGTAGCAACGCTCTCTACATCGGAGGAAGAATCTACGTCAGAGGAGTGTGCGACAGCGTCATCTCCATTTGAAGAAATAACTCCAGCGTCATCTCCAGTAAAAGCTCCTTCATGCTGCTCATCCTCTTCACTGTGATTATCGTGATCTTCACTGTGATTATCGTGATCGTCACTGTGCTCTTCACTCTGATCTTCGTGATCTGGGTCTACGATTCCTAGACTGGACCAAAAATTCCTTTCGGCTCGATTAGGTTTGTGTTCTCTCCTCGTAGACACTGACACATAAGTAGAAGTAGTCGTGTCATGTTTTTCGTCGTGTCTTCTCGGACTAGAAGAAGCCTCTTCTTCCTTCATCGGGTAGCTTTTCTCGGTGATCGACTCCTCGTCCTCCGCTTCCTCTTTTATCGGTGTCAGTTCAACAGGGCCCATTTCCAGACCCCCTCCACTTTGTTCTGCACTTGTTGTAGTACCAAGCGGGGGTGCGGCGTAATCATGATCGTCATCGTCGTACGCACCATGGTCGTATGCGCCAGCCAGATATTCCTCAAAATCATACTCCCGTAGTGGGGTAAGGACGTCTCCTTCCTCGCACTCTGACGATTCTCCATGTAGAGAACTTTGGTCGTCCTCAGAAGCCATCCTTCTGCAATATGTTGATGATAGAAGAACCTTCTGCAAAATGTTGATGATTTTTGGAGGGACTAACCTAGGATAAAAGTAATTGACAAGGTCTTGTGATTTGCATACTGCCAGAACAAGATGTTGGGAAAAAGAGGTTAGGCTAGGTTAGGTTAGGCCCTAACCGTTAGGGATCCTTCACATAGACTCGATAAACAGATCTACAAGTCAATATCATGATGAAGGAAGTAGGAGCACTTCTTTCTATTCATAGGACGAGCACATGGACAATAAGTATGAAACCATGAATTAACCCTGTATTTTGAAATTAATATAATCTACGCGTCGGCCTGATGGGGTTGTTGTGTGGGGTACCTATTTTGGTATGATAATTATTTGGAGAACCCAACTTTTTTTATCATGAGAAGTCCTGCAGTAGAAGTAAAAACGGAGTTTCTGGTAGGAAGAAAATGTTTTACAAGCAAGTAGGCTAATTGTAGATCAGGAGTTGACGTTTTATGGGTCGATGTCAATAATTCACTTGCTCAAGTATACCCATGACGAAGACACGAGCATGACTCATCGTCATGACCAGGAATTATAAATAAGAATCATAAAAATAGGGTGTGACAGATCAACAAAGCACTCTTGTAACAGATGAACATAGCAGCACTCTCGTAACTACAGATAAGCATAGCAGTCTTGTAACTGCAGATGAGCGTCGCACTCTTGTAGCAGATGAGCGTCGCACTCTTGTAGCAGATGAGCGTAGCACTCTTGTAGCAGATGAGCGTCGCACTCTTGTAGCAGATGAGTATCGCTCTCTTGTAGCACTAGCAGACGAGCGTCGCTCTCTTGTAACAGAGATGAGCAGAGCAGTCTTGTAGCACTCTCCCTCTCTGCCGACACACTTGTAACAGACCATATATTTCTCTCATAGCACTCTCTCACTATGAAGTTTCTTCCTCTCTTCTACCCTCTCTGCTCAGAAGAAAAACTCACCCAAGAAAACACAACTCAAGCCCTTCCTTGAAATCATTTTTGCAACGAGCATATGATAGATCACGACATAGAAGAGTTCATTCTGCTGCTCGCTTGCGTTTTTTTCGCTATTGAGTTTACTAGTGCTCACGAGCCCGAGTTCAAGTCCTTGTCGTCAAGAAGTGAGGAAATAAAAATTTCATCTCCACGACCGACCCTCTTGGCGGATAGTACTCTAGGGTCGTGAATGGTTGGTGCATCGCCTTCGATTGCAAAAAATTCTGCCTCCTCGTCCAGCGATGTTGGGAGGTTGAAATTAGAGGTAGACCAGGAACTTTTCACAACTATGAAGTCGATGTACTTACTATGGCAAACTTTCATTCTTCAGAAAGTTTTTAACCAGTGCTGAAGCCTCAACAAAAGAACGCTCAAGCAGGAGAGGTAACGCAGAAGTTCGAATGTCACAGACGAGAAGAAGCAAATAGGCGGCAGCCTGTTTTAGTGTGGAACACTGGCATTCAAAGATAGCACAAGAATGAATGTGAAGTCGATGGACTATGGCAAACTTCCATCTATCCCGATCTGAATAGTCAATCCCGATCTGAATATAGCTGGCGATAGTGATCAATCCCGATATGAATAGAACACCAGCAAGCCGCACTAACAAACGTGTGAGACACCAGCGTGCGCCAGCCCAACGAAGCGGAAACCTCCGAGAGGCAGGTAAAAACGAAACACGCCAAGCGCGGCGCACGGAAGAGCGCGCATCACCAACGACAAGTGGAAAGGCATGGCCCGCTACGAAACAGAAGCAGAGGGAGATCCGAGGCTTTTGTCGGGACAAAAACCGCAGATCCGCCGAATTGAAATTCTACACTTGAGATTCGATTTCGAGAAGGCAAAACAAAGGAAACAACAAAGTAACTGGCCGAAACCAGGAAAGACATATTCACAATGATAGGTGGATGAATGAGAGATGCTTTAAGGGTCACCGATAAAGTAATGACTTCAGATGGACATGAACTGTCCTCAGGCTCTTTCTTCTGCCAGAAACAAAAGAGCGTTTTATTCCGCAGGCTACATAAAACGATTAACATATTCAAAATTTTTCTAAGAAGCTGCAGAAAAACAACCTTTACACCAATCGATACTGTATGGATGGTTGTTGTAAACAGCTGACCTTCCTAGGCGATAAGCAAGCGAAGAGATCAAAATGATACAGATATCTTCCATGCATGTGGAAAAGAAAATGACAAAATCTACCAGAACTACAATGAATTTGAACTGCCAACGTCCTTAATTTCGAATGCCAAGAACTGAAGCCTTAATTTTAATACCTGTATGCTCTTCATCATGATCGATGACCGCAAAACCCAATTTGCCAGGAATGAAGGGGTACTTCGCTTCCCGCATGTCTTCGCTCATTACTCGTTTGTACTCGGAGTTTCGAATTAGATGAGCGCTAGATCATGCCCAAAAATTTTTGATGATAGATGATGGCAAATTCTTGATGCGTCATAGACATATTGAAAAAAACGGCTCTAATATATAAAATACATATAAAACACTGCCGAAAGTGAGCAGACAAGAACCAAAGTAATTATATTATTTAAGCAGATACCCCATGCACATATAGGAGCTTAGCACAACCAAAGTGATTAAAAGTGCATACTATTGGAGCCGAAGCCGCCTGACTAGCATGAGGTATAAAAATTTCTTCCAAATTTTAAGAACGTCTAGAAAACACGGGCTCCACATCTGCCTGGTATGGTGCATTAGATGAGGCTCACTTTCCTAGAAAATCGCGCAGGTTGTATGGTGGTGAGTCATTGATTCAACGCTGACAAGGGAGACGAGTATGTAAGCAACCGGCAGACTAGCACAACCAAAGTGATTCTACTAAGTGCATAGACTAGTACAACTAAGAGTTCCTCTTAACTTCACCTCAGCAGAGAGCCAGAGAAACTCTTGGACCACTATGGGGTCTAAGAAGGGGAACCTGGTCTCGATCCCGTAAATGCCAGCGACGACTTCTTCCTTCATAATGAAATCACGCATCCTCTCCAAAAAAAATCCAGACCAAGGAAAGATTTCACTCAAGCCTCCGCCTGGAGAGGCATTGTATGGTTGGCCAGTAGAAGCATGTTGTGGTTGGCGAGTAGAAGCATCTTGTGGTTGGCCAGTAGAAGCATCTCGGGATTGGCGAGTAGAAGCATGATCTTGTGTATCTCCAGAAGAAGCATCTACTTCTACTTGTCCTCCAGAAGAAGCAGCTACTTGTCCTTCAGAAACAGCACGATCTGGGTGGATTACACGCAGTATGTCGTCAGAGCTCCTGTGCTCCGAAGGAAAGGGTCTGTCTATGATACTGCTTCCGCTGCCAACAACATCTCCGAAGTTTAGAAGTACATGGCGGCGTAAGAAGACATCTATGTTTGATCAGTAGTAAACACCTATCTTTGACTGATGGCTTCCGAAGTTTCGTAGTAGAAGACATCTATCTTTGATCTTGAAGAAGGCCATAATTGGTATGAGTCTGCTTTGTTTTATTTTAGTCACTTATTATTGCTTGAGAGGATAAACCTAGGATATGGATATGACTAAAAAGTTAACTGGTTCTCACCTATTAGAAAACAAATACAGAATGACGGTTTAGGAATCTATGAATGACGATGTTGAGACTATGGCTTTCTGCCGTAGCTTTCGACTTGGTCTCATGATTTTCGGAGCTTTGGGTCCGTAAGCGCCATAATCGCCAGCATAAAGGTTAGAAGGGTAAAGAAGGTTGAAAAAGAAACAAGTACTTACTGAACTAATAATGAATGGTTCTGGTATTTGGTAGCCTGAGTTTGATCCTAAGGGAAAACAAGAAGAGAACCCTTACTTAGGAATAGGATCAAATTCAGGTTACCAAATACCAGAACCATACAAATAAAGGTGGCGCCAGAAGATGTGTGCGTCTGTATATGTGTCGTGGCGTCTGAGCAGGATCTTCAATGACAATGCGTCTTTTGAGTAGAAGAGCGAGATCCCGTCACAACTCTCTTTTATGGTTAAGTGGACAACCAAGCACTTACATGGCATTATTTCAAGACACTTTATTGTGCCTTGAGTCAATGGGGAGGAGGACTGTCACTCTACTCTTATCAACTTAGCATAAAAATCTCATCCCCTCCAGCTCCCGACAGCGCGATGCGAACCCCGTGTCCCTGGGCCGCTCGTCGATACAATACTGACAAACCTAAGGAAGCACCATCACGCCAGACCAAGTGGTCGGGTTCGTAGTACTTACGAATTTCGCGATTCTCCATCCGATATCGATAAGGCTCGCACACTTCTTGCAGAAATTTTTGCTCCTTGTCAAACGTATTGGATCCAAAGCGAATAAGCTCTGAAACCGGAAATTGCTGCGTCAAGAAAGAATCTACTGCTGATGAAGAATCTACTGCTGGTGCTGCCCCACCAACATCTTGTTGAAGAACTTGTCCTCTATGTTGTTGTTCGTCAAGCGGTCGAGTAGTTGTTGTAGCGTCCAGGTCAACTCTACTAGGTCGTCGTGTGCCAGAACCTCCATAGGTGTCAACTGCACGACTTGTTTTTTCACGAAGACTGTTTTTCAAGATTGCTTGCTCTTTCACCCTGTCTAAAGCATAATGGACACGCTTGCGAAAAACGCTCACGTCTTCCATGCCCTTGATTGAGTAGGTGAGCAGCGGAGGTGGCGGACGTCTAGTAGCTGTGGCTATCGCTTCAAGACTTCTCCTCTTAGGGTCGTCAGCATTGTGTGAAATGACACTACTTCTTCTACTAGAGTCGTCTCCTGGTGATATCTCGAACTCCATATTTTCACTGTGAAAGCTTTGAGCTAGATGTTTCACGTAAGCAAGGTGCAATAGTCCTGAGTCGTAGCCCGATGATAGACCTAGCAATGTCCTGTGTCTGGCGTATTTCAATCTCCGAGCAACAGCGGCTTGAAAAGCATTACGCCAATCTTGAGTCGTTTTTTTGAACTGCCGCAGGTCAAACTCGAAGACTGGAGAAACTTCGATCTTATTCCCAGTATTGAGGTGTATCTTAGAGCTACCCGTTGATGTGGACAAGGATGAGGACGTCTCGTTGTCTTCTGGGAAAGCGGACACCAAGTAGGATGAGGAGCCTTCATGATCTTCCTCTCCTGCCAAGACCACGATACTACTAGTAGCACTTCTTTGCTCCTGAATGCTTCCAGTTGTCAAAGCAGCGCTTCTTTGCTCCTCAATGCTTCCAGTTGGACCTCTTATAGTTGTACTTCCAGGTGACGTTTTTGATCCATTATCTGTCCTGCCAAAAATAGGAATCTCCATGATGGTATTGGGTTGTAGCATGCGGATTTGGACGTCCTTAGCCAATGGCTTTGGGGGCCACTCTTCCACTTCCTGCTCTCCAACGATGCATTAAGAGTGGACTAGGAAGTCAAATGTGGGTCTCTATGTTTCTCTATGAGCGGCGTGGGCCCTTTTTAAATATCATTGATTCTACTTCTCATAAATATAGTAAGATTTTTACAACTCATCATGACTCATTGGTTAAAGTAAAGTTCACTAAGATCTTTCTCATCGACGTCATCAAAAACTAGCTTTGACTACTTGTGTACTAAAGAGTGTTGTAGCTGGGTAGAAAAGATAGATATGTTATGACAAATTTCGGATATACTCGAGCCAGCACGAAAATATCGAAATGACGGTCCAGCCATATCTTCTGACAGCAGGACCGTGTAGTCCCACGAGTAAGGTGCACTGAGAACAGCCTCTGGAGCGCACTCGCGTAGCTACTCACGTGGACATCAGCCATCATTAAACTATTGTCTGGCGCTGTGATCGCGAAGTGCAGAGGTTTAGTTCCGAACGGGTCTGATGCTAGAGTGACAACACCTCTAGCAAAGTCATACACCGCGACAGCGAACTCGCCTTGCAGAAGAATTAGACCGCAACCTTGGGTAGGATTCTGGTTCTGATCGAACTTCTTGAAGATTAAGATTTTAGCTAGTACTACTAGAAACACAGGCTACAAGAATTATACCTCCATTTCCAGTTTGACGATTTCAACAACCCTTGTTCATGTACCACTGGATTATACCTCCATTTCCAGTTTGAAGATTTCAACAACCCTTGTTCATCTATATACAGCTACCAGTGGTGGATAGGAAGGTCAAGACCTTCAACTACAGTTGTAGATGCCTAAAAAGGGCTAAGTCAAGAGTATGTGCCTTAAAAAGCGGACGAACTTGGATCCATATCGGCGATACAGGGGAATAATCACAGACCCGTCACTTGGAGGAAAGCTAGCGGCTCTTTTCGACGACTTCTTAGCTTCAGCAACGCCTAGTTCTACTGAGTCGTCGTGCACAACTAGGTCATGACTCTCTCTTCTAGCATTAGTGGTATCATGATTCCCTAGTAGGATTTCCAACTCAGCAGGCTTTCGGGCTTCTGGGTGAGTCCTGTGTGCGTCCATGGACGACCCGTCGTCTCCCGAAGATGATGACAAGAGCAATTCATGCTCCACCGCTAGTTCCCTATAGTTGTAAATTTCGCCATTGAAGACATTAGAGCTCGTTGACATCCCTGAGTGCATCCTTGTCCCCTTATTCAACTAGAAGAAGGGCCACGGATGATGCTCAGGATGCTCTCTTGGTTGCCTTAAAGACGGCGAATATTCGGCCCTCCTGGAACGGTTGCCATGTCGCGCCACCGCTATCGAGAAAAGTCTGTGTCTGCGACAGCAGATTATGGAGAATCTTAGATTCAGACACAGTCCACAACAATAATGACGGTGATGTTGTACTTCTCGGACATCCTCATCACAAACGCAGGTTATCACGCTTCTAATTCTTCGTAACTCGTAGCAGTAGTTCGTTGCCTTCTCACCTCTACAACCTGCAGCAGAGGAGAAAGGAAAAAGACAAAAATGATACGCTGTGCCAATAATCCACAAGTAGACCACGGCGACTATTTTCAATTTCAAGACGACTTCGACTAGAACTAGAGAAATAAAAAGCTTTTTTTATACAACTAGCCTACTAGTACAATTACGAGCCTTAACGAAAGTGTATCCGTTCGTCCCATCTGCAGCATGAAGGATCGATGTGCCATCAGGACCTCGCATTTGCTGAAAGAAATTGACGTAGGTCAAATTCCTTAAGAGTGCTGCAGCAAGAGTTGTTACGAGGAAACTGCACATTTTGCTTTGCTTCTGTGAAATAAACGGATTAAGGATGCTGATATTACATCGATCTCCCTTTGCAGGTGGAAGATGAAGAATGTTTACATTTTAGATGTGTAGACTTCCTTTTCCTTTTCAGATTTTAGACCTAATGGTGCTGATCTTTCCTTTTGTCGAAGTCTTTGGTACAGCACATAGGTCATAAAAGAGAGATACTACATCTATCTTAGAACTTCAGTTTTTGCCATGATCTCACAGACAGAACTCATACAAACCTTGCGAAAGCACCATGTGCTACATCGTCCGTCTCAGGTAACCCTCGGAATTACAACTATTTCGACGGTTGTTCATCTTCATGTTCATCTACCTTCTACATTCGTAACATATAATCATGCCCCGCCTACTCCCACTCTCTATCTCTAGATCTTACCCGTCCATGACAAAACACTTCGTTGTCTGGGCTCTTTGCATTCGGGATCAGTCTTGCTTCACCGTAAATGTAACACTGCTGTAGTACGTCCACGACCCCAACCGGTGCATCTGCATTTGAATCTCCGTAGCAGCTACTGTTTCATGTTGCCCATGCAGAGCAGGTTGTACAAAATGCGAAACATGGTATCGAAACAAAGTCTTTCTTTCTTCAAAATGGAAACTCGCTGAAACATCAACCTCCTATCTTCCCTTGTGGTCTTTCTGACATCAACAACTAAACGTTTGTCTTTGCAATCTCAAAAATCTGTAGAAATTCACATTGATTACAATACTTATTTGTCACAAGAATCATATTCGCTATAAGTATCTATAAGTACATATTCATATTATTTACTAGAAGCTATGAGAGTTTTTAGTGTTAGTAGATGAGTACTTAATCGCTTGGCAGCGCCACTTCACGACTTCCGTGGTTGGTTATTGATGATCGTCCTTTTTTTCAGCTCAGAATCTGTCTCGCTTTTTCCAATTCAGCCCTCCACGCGTCCTCAGAGGTTGATCCGTGAGCGAAATCAATGTAGTACTTGCACATTTGCTCTTTGCGTCGTAAACATCGCCAGTTTCGTGCTCGCGAGTGCGGAGCGTAGAGACCAACCCGCAAAAAGCCGTCTCTTCCCTCCTCGTTTCTGTCCTGAAAGTATGGGATCAGCTCATGCCGCGGAATGACGAACATACCGAGGAGTCCGCTATTTTCATTCGGCAAGGAAGTCAGCTCCTCTTGATGGAGGTCAAGCCCCTGTCGGCTTCGCAACACGTATACGACCAGAAAGTCGATTGGATCATCCACGCCGATCGGCACGACGCCAGCCTTTGCAGTGTCACGGCGGGCGAGATAAACGTCATAGCCCTGTCCACGATTCATGGGTTTGCCGACACGGTGCAGTACCCTGCGACCGGATAGAAGTGTGTTGTAGGTCCACACGTCGCGACTCGGTATGTCGACTTTCAATCGCAGCGGCTCGTACACGAAGTGCATAGCTAGGCGCATACATTTCTGCGACGTGTTATCCACACTGCAGCTAGCCAGAATGCAGAACCACTCGGATAGCCTTCGCTTTTCCGCAGATACCCACCAGTTTTGTAGAAGCGAGGCCAGTACTTGCGGTGATTTGACGGCCTGCTCCGAGCGAAAATAGATGGCGTGCCTCATTCTGCGAGCCCGCGATACTTCTGCCGATGAGAGCGAATGCGGAAACTCCTGCCGAGCAACAGCGTCTCCCGTTTCTTTGTCCGCACTCTCGGCTCGCTTAATTTGCCGCTCGCTGGGTAAGCCAGACGACGAGGTCGTCGCATTCTCACTCGACACGTGGCATTCCCTTTTCTTCATTCTGAGAGCGCGAGCAGAGCGGATATTTCGACAACATGTATCATGAGACCGTGCAAAAAATTGTTTTGTCGGTAGATGAATCCCAATTATACCTGCTCCGTGCGCGCCTGCCTTCATTAAGAAGACCAAGGGGCTACTGCACCGCGGCGTCGAGCGGTCATCGGCTCCAGAGTTAGGACACATGATTTCAGAATGTCGATATTCTTGTTGATCTTCCATAATTTCTGTAGTGCGTTCGTGATGGGCTGGATCTCGCGACACTCCTTGTGGCTGCTTCGCGCCCAACGTGGAGTAGACAAGCAGCGTTGCCCAGCGCTCATGCTCCGCCTCTGTGTTCGGCGAGTCGAGCGTAAAAAGAACCGAAGTTCGCGACATTCGTGGGGCTATCGTGAAGCGGATTTGCGGTGCAACTTCTCGCATCGTGTCGAGAAACAAGCGTATTCCGTGTGCCGAAATCGAATGACTTCGGGCATACCAGTGTTGCTTCCGGCGCTTGGCACTCGCGTTAGCAACGCTCGAAGATGGTTGAGCGCTGGAGTCTTGCTTAAAGGCTCGTGGACGCCTGTCGTATCCACAGAAGTCCGAAAATCCTGCAAAGCCGGTGTGGCGGTAATACGAGCTGGGCGTCGACGGAATCCACGCTGGTCGTGCTGTCCGGCTGTAGAACTCCCACTCCTTCGAACACTTAAGGCCAAGCTGGCGCACGTGCGCACGTGCCTCCTCGAAGCCTAGAAATTGCCGTCTCCTATACTGTTGCCGATCTGCAAATGAGCGCCCACGCGTCGAAAGTTGCTGCTGCGCGGACGACAAGCAGATCGACGCGTGCGCAGGCTTGTTGCTGCCAGAAGGTGTTGCTTCAGTTTCAGCGCAGGAGTCGCCGGATGCAGACAAGACTCGACGTGGAGCTCCAAATTTACGATGCTGTCGAGCAAAGAAGGACTCATTTTTTGCAGAGTGTACTCTGCGGAGGACCATTTTAATATAGTTTTCTGCACAACGACAGTGAATAAGAATAGTTGCACTTCTATCATAGAAGAAGAGGATTCAATCTTGTTGTTATGTCTCCACCAATTCGAAACTTGATATACGTGATTATGATATAGTAGCTCGTGGTCATCGTGCTTCACTTCCTCTACGGTGACTACAAATCAGCCATACTCATATTTCCTTTAGTCTGGTATCTGACACACGCTCAACACGCAATCAATGCAAAACTCCTCTCATATTGTCTCATGGTTGTGACTTTCACTTTCTCAAGTTTTATCACGAACTCGGACTCGCTTTGTTTCTCGCTCGAATAAATTCATGGCAGACGCCACTGAGGTGCAGGTTTTGCTCTACAATTTGAGGAAATTTTTGAGGAGCTCGGGTCGGGCTTGGGGGAGGGATGTAGCAGACAATTCTAAACTTATGTTCGGATGGGATGAACGTGAAGGATCAGTCAGCAGTGGCACTTCTACTGGTGAAAATGACATTCCCCTAGCTCCTGTTTACCTCGGATTCTCATGTGCGTAATTTCGCCAGTCAACCTTGTCTCTGAGCATTGCCGCGTGAAACTTACAGTTGCATCCCAACTGGAGAAACTACCAAGTCCTTTTCTTGATGATCTTAATTTTCGTTGGTATAAATAGCCGCACTAAGCGTTGGCTGGCAGACAGCCAGTAGCGGTGCTGACGACTCCCGAAGCCTTTCATGTTCAGTAACTGGTACTGGAGTGCTTGTTACTTGCTCTCCAAGCTTCTGTTGCTTAGGAGTTGGAGTGCCTAGTGCGGGAGGCGGGTCCTGGTCTGTGAGGACAACTGGAGGCAGAGCAGGAGGCAGCGGAGAACCTGCTAGAAGGAGGTTGTTGTTGTAGTTGTTGTAAGAGAAACTCGTGACCGCTTGAAGAAGGTTGTGGTCGTTGTAAGACAATATTATGAAGACGAACTGGTTGTTGTCAATATAGGAGAAGATCATGCAGGAGCATATGAACTACATATAACTTCTACATGAGAATGAAAAACTCAAGAAATCAACATAGCAGTACCTGCACCATCGACTTCAACGGCACCTTCTGCATCGAATCGTGGCAATGGGGGCAATAAAGGCGGAGGTAGCTGTTTTTCAGTGTTTGGGTACTAGTATTAGCTGTACGAAATAGTAGACTACTTGAGCTAACATGAAGAAAAAGCAAAATTGTCATCAAGACTTCATCAATGGGTGGATTGGGGTGACAACGAGCAACTACTTTGTCTTTTTACTCATAGATAATATCTGATATTACAAGCTGTAACTAATTTCATTGGCCTTAGAATTCGAGAAACTCTCTCTCTTCATGAGAAAAAAGTCATTATGTATCTTACAAGCTGTAACTAATATCATAGATACCGGAGGCAAAGCCGAAGTAGGAGGAAACGCGGCTGGAAGGTTCGAACCAGATCCGGGTGTCGGAGTATGCGGAGGTCCAGAAGTTGGGGTTTCAGCATCAGGAGGCAGCATATGCGGAGGCGGGGGTGGGGTTGCTGGTACGGCAGGCATCCTTGATACAGAAGTATCACCAACAACTTGAACAGCGCTTTTACTTCCTCCAGAGGACTTATTTGTTGTTGTTTTTGCGGTACAACTAGCAGTAAGCGTCTCTCCTCCTGTAAGATTGATCTTCTTGTTTGTAGACGACTTAGAAGATGTAGAAGTCGCACTTAGTGTTCTTGAGCCTGCACTTTTGATTGGTGTTCTTGAGCCTGCATTTTCTTCCACAACCACGTAGGTGTTAGCGGAGAAGTCGCAAGAAAGTCCTGGAGGAACGTCGTGCGTCCCATGTGGTCCAGCATCCTGTTGTATTTTTGCTCCAGATTTACCAGCTAACGCAAATACGCGGTCTTGTGCGGATTCGTACCGACTTCCCAGAGCCGCGCGAATACCTTTGCCGTTTGCTAAGATGGGCAGAGGCTTCACTCCACCATGAGGACCGTGTTCCTTAGAAGGGAAGCCAAGATTTTCTACTAGTAAAGCAAGTAGCAGGTTTCAACATAGGCGCAGCATTACTTTGCGTGTTGGGATCAAACCTAGGATATGAGGGAAAATAAACCGGCTATCTTTCTGTATGTGCTTTAAGCGTCGCGGGACCTAAACCCCTACATTACTCAATGATTTGGCTTGAAAATTCATAGGAAGACTTCTAGGCGGTACATATTTCCGTGTAGCTCAACATCTAGTACGTATTTACAGAATAAGTAGATCAAATGACAAGTTAGTCTACTGGCAAACTTTCGTTGATAAAAAGCCGATGAAATACTACAGATGCCATTTTCTAAGGACTCCTCGCGTTCGCGTGGATAAAGAACTTCTGCAAGAGTACTACATAGAGCAAGTTATGACATTAACATTCTTCATAATATCATTTCCTTTCCCACCTCCGCTTCCCACCTTTAGTACTACATAGAGCAAGAAGTTAAAATGATAACATTCACATAATATCAACATTTCCTTTCCCACCTCCGCTTCCCGCCTTCCCTGGGTGTTGCTCTTGCGCCGCTCTCGCATTCAGGTGATCTAGCACTGTGGTTTGTAACGAGAAGCCTGTCGATTTGTTTGAAGATAGGAGGGCCTCCATCTTCTGTCGTAGCTCTGCTGGCGTATGTGGACCTTTGTTTCTGTCGTTGTTGTTTCTGTCGTTGTTGTTTCTGTCGCTTCCTCCAGACGCATCGTGGTTCTTTGACTGGTGGTCTTGTTTCAGATTAGAAGGAAAAACAAGTGTCATCTACGAAGATTATGCATATTTATGTGACAGCCTAAGTTACTTAGTACGTTTCTATGTACATGATCAAAGAAACTTGGATCTTGGGCTAGAATTTAGTCCAGATACATCCAAAACAAATCAGCGCCTGCACCTGCACATTGCACATGATAAGTACTTGGATTCATATCAAGATGAGCAAGTAAACCCTAGATAGTCAAAAAAATTCCACATGAGATTTCATATCAAGATGAATGCTATTATTGGTTTCGTCCTCCATCATAATGCTATTGCTCGTTTCCTTGCTTCCGTTGCGCATGCACAAGGGCCCGGACTGAGCGTTGCTCAGAACCGAGGCGAATAGCCGTACTGAATTCTGCAATTCTTAGGGCTTTCCCCTGTTCATCCCTGTGGAAATCCCTCACGTCTAGCTTCACCAGAAAGGAGAACAAGATCAAGTTTTGATATGCGTCAGCATCTCCCTTGTATTGGGGCGCATATGTTTGAGGGATCCCTATACATAGACGAGATGGATTAGGGGAAGCCTTAAAATTCCTCAAACTCCAAATTGCTGTTGTCCTTCATCGTCTCGTTTTTATTATTCACCAGTTGTCCCGATGATCCACCTTTGCAACCTGCAGAGCCGCCAGACTGTTGGTTATGGTTGCTAGAAGAAGCTGTAGTTGATGTGCCATGATTAATATTTCCTCCTTGTCTTAGAAGCAGGTTTTTGGTGCTCGCTTACCCCGCTTGCTATGCCTTTCTCATCCTAAGGGAGAGAGGCATAAAAAGCGGTAAGAAAAGCACCTTTATCCTACCCGTAATTGTCCTATACCTCCAGAAGAAGACCCATCTCCTGCATCTTTAAGGGCAGCAACCTGAGTCACCTCGGCGCGCTGTCGGACGACCAGTAACGGGTCTAATTCCAGCAAGGCTGCGCTCTCCGCCAAAGCCAATGCGCTGTCGCGATTGCTGCTGTCGTTACTATGGAACGAGTCACATCGAAACAGATTTTGCGGAGATGAAGCGACGCTCTCCAAATTAGACTTATTGATATTCGGTTAAGTCACTTTGATCTTCTTCTGATCAAATCTTCACCTACTTGATTCCTCCTTCAATAACATCTTTAGCCAAAGAGTGTCAAGCATTGACTTTCCCCTTCAAGAAAAAACTTAGAGCACAACGTCGTGTGCGTGATACCGAGGATACCTCACGACACCAGGTAGTGATTGACTAGCAATGAATTATTACGAGCCTTAACCAAAAGGTCCCCACAGGATGGCGTTGGACTACAACCTGCCGAAAGAGGTCCACGTTTCATTCTGGTTTGTCTGCCCTGTTTTTCTCTCGCGTTTTTCCTTCGAGCTTCAGTTGTCGCAGTACGTAACGTCTTACCTAGATGGTGAAATACTCCATGAGCCACTACCACTTCCAAAGCCTCCTTTGCCACCTGCTGCTGCAACTCTTGCACTTCTGCAGAAGAAATTGGCTGCTTGACTGGCGTTGTCGGAGGTGGATTAAGTTTAATTGGCGTCGTCCCAGCACTGCTTGCTGCAAAACTTGGAGGTGGCGGCAGTGGAGGCGGCAACGAAGGCGGAGGTTGGGTTCGTCCTGTCGAAGATAGATCTCCATTCACATTGGAGGGCGTAAAAGTATTATTTGGACCACTAGATTTTGAACAAGACTCCTTTTTAGAGCTCACTGTACAAGAATAATCTATCTTCTACGTACTAACTTAGGTGCATGCATCGTCTCAGAATCCAAGCTAGAATGAAACTGAGCGATAATGAATCTACTTTTGGCGTTGAGTGGAAGATGAATCATTATTAGCCTTAACCTGTGCAGCTAGAAGTTTCCGTGCTCGTTGCTTGAGGTACTTTTGCAGCACCGCCACACGACCTTCAGTACTGTCTGGCATGTTTTTCACTGGCGTAATGGCCCTGTAGTAGCTGGAAGGGGAGGTCTTGTTGCCCTTACCACCACCACTGCTGGAAGAAGCAGGACCAGCGGTCGTGGTATTCTTGTTGATGTTTGTTGAAGAAGATGCCGTCGCAGAGTCTACTGGTCTATCTGGTGAAGATGCAGCTGGGTCAAGATCATTTCTACCAGTTGTTGCGCCACTCCAACTCGATTGTTGCAGCCTGCTGGGCGGGGAGTCGCAGCTGACGAAATTCTTTTCACCTGCCTCAAGCCTGTCTAAGTAGTGACTTGCCGCAATGTTCCTGACTGCCTGCTGAGCCACAGTTTTTAAGTCTTTACTGGGATGGAGGAAGTCTTTCAAGAGACTCAACTGTGAGGAGTTCAACCCTATACGACGTACGCCATGCTGCTCTAATACGTCGCCAAAATCAAACTCCTGCTGGTGGCTCTGATGGTCAGGAGAAGCTTCTCCTGAAGTGCTAGATGTGGTTGTGCCATTGGCTTTCTTGGCCGTCGCGGTAGGAGGAATAGCACCTTCAGTCGTCGTGCGTGGGGAAGTTGTGTTGGAAGATGAGCTTAATCCTCCTCCTACTTTTCTGTCTTTTCTACCTGCTCCACTACTTCCTTGCGAAGCCACTGCGACTGCTTCCACCTGGTGGTCCTTACTACTATTTGTACTATTTATCTTAGTTGTAGAACTTGAGCTTGAAGTTGATTAAAGGTTGAAACTACATTTCACGTTAATAGTAGCAGTCTCAAGTAGATGAGAAGGCTTGTAAAAATGAAATGAAAAATGTTTCAACCCTTAAGTTGAGCTTGATGCTGGTGTGATGTGCGAGGCCGTTGAACTACCTCCTTTCCGGTACAAAGCAGCATTCGGGATGATCAAATCTTCTCTAGTCCTCCTCGTTGTGATGTTCGACGTCGATGTTGCTCCTGAATTAGCACGACTAGCTTTCTTTTCGTCCAGTAGGGCATTCACTAGGGCTTCTGCGCGTCCAAACTCTGCTAATGCGGATCGACGTATAAAGTTTCCTTGTGCTAAGTCTTCGAAAAAACTCGCTACTTTATGCTCAGCTTCAGTAACTTGATCTTCTGCTGTTGTAGAAGTACAAGTCCTTCCTATCGCGGCCCCGCTCCTTGCTTTGAGACTGAAATTAGACCTCTAATCCTATGCTATGCATATGCTATTGGTGTTTTATTGATTACCACTTGCATCATGCATAATTCATCTTCCCTCAGCTGCAAGCATCATTGAAGGCCATCTAGGTCACGGAGAATATACTTCATTTCACGACGAGGACATACTTCCTCTCAAGGACACACGTGTCGTTCAAGGATATCGAGATATTTTCCACCTCCAGGTGGGAAGATGACTTTTTACAGATTAGAGATAGGTAGCTTTGATGGAACAAGCAGAGGATAGGATAGGATAGGATAGGATAGGCGCCTGTGCTAGGTCTACACGCAAGACGGGATATTATTATTCACACACAGCATTAGCCTTAATGGAAAGCACTAGCGTCTGTAGCCAGTCTTTGCAGAGACCGTCGGCCCATTCTCTAGCATTGGTGTTGCTCTGCAGAGCGTCGGAAAAATGATCCATGAATTTCTCGAAGCTCTCTGCTTCTTTTGAGACTGGAGCTTTACTCGACTGTGACTTGAAGGCGTCGCCGTTCAATCCTGGAGAGGAAGACTCATTCGAGGATGGGGTGAATGTAAGGATTTTTGAGGCTCAGGATCCTCCTAATTCAGGAGGTGACGAGAAGTTAGGAAAAAAGTTTTTCAAATAGGTTACGACTCTTCATCTTCACCGAGCAGTTTATAAGGGTTCCAGGGCTGGAATGGCATGGATCGAATGGCACGAATGGCACGGATGGCGGGGGCGCAATCCGTGACCGCGATCGACCTCGCCATTCGTCCCATTCGTGGACCAAATAGACTTTCGAGAGCGGGGCGCCCTTCGGGCGCCCTGCGTTCCGACGCGTTGCGCTCCCAACTCGGTTGCCACTTCCTGCTCGATGCTCTACGCCGACCGCCAAGAACCCCGCGGGCGCGGGGCGCCCTTCGGGCGCCAAGCCCTGCACTCAGCCAAACGCACATCCCTCACACAGTTCCACTAGGTGCCAAGGCTGCCTCCCCGCTACGGGCGGGGAGCCATGCTTCGGCGCCACCTCTTCCCTTCTTCGTCGTCACGGCTATCGCAAGGCACGCGGCTACGCCTGGTTTCAAGCTGGACCCCGATGCCGCTCCGGTGGTCTCGTAGCGTTTTTTATTTCCCAGAATTCCGTGGGGTTACGCAAATTCGTCCGAGTTTGTATGACCCCCACAGAATTCCGGGAAAAAACGAGGCCCATGCGGCACCTTGCGTGAAGTTCTGCACTCCTCAGGCGCGGCTTCCGCTGTTTCCCTAGGCCGCTCCCTTAACGGTAGAGGAGCCTGCCCGGGGCTCGCGTCTCCCTCTCCTCGCTCGCCGCCGGCCTTGTCGACCGACGCGGCTTCTCTCATGGGCGGAATCACTTGCATGCGACCGACATACTCGGCAAGCGAATGAGACCAGGGGCGCCAGCTGGCGGAACCCTGCCAACCTGTGCCATTCGTGCCATTCGTGACACATTTGGGGTTTGTTGGGGTGTGCCATTCATGCCATTCGTGCCATTCGTCCCATGCGCCATTCGTGCTATAAACTGTCCTAAGATAATGAAAAGCACTTGCTTCATCAAAATAGCCATGATTAAGGCAGAAGTTATAATCTGTTCGCAGGTACTACTTGTTGTCAAGGGAAAAGTTTTCATCAAGGTAACTTTGAAAGCTTACTAGAGTACCTTCTCGTACGAAGGCAGAAGTTATAATAGAGCAACCTGTTCGCAGGTACTTCTTGTTGTCAAAGTAAAAGGTTTCATCAAGGTATTAACTTTGAAAGCTTAGACTAGAGTACCTTCTCGTACGATCTTGAACAGCTCGAGCTCGTATTTGCGCTTGCCATCTGGATCTTCAGCGGTAAGATTAGAGGAGACTCGCTCGGCAAAATAGCAGTTCAGGAAGAACCACAGAACTAGAAGGGACAGGGAACAAAAACATACGGACCGACTCAGCCTCTGCTATCAATTCTTAGTGTGCTACTGCTCACCCATGTAAATTTTAGAACATGACATCCGCGTAAGTTTTTAAAAATCGGAATCACGACAAGTCATTTTTAAGATTCAATCACTAACGTAGTAAAAAAATAAAAGTTTAATATGTTTCGACTTCATCGATCACTTAGTAAATCCATGATCCGTAACAAGCGCATCTTCTTCTGTCTTGAGAGAATCAGCGAGTTCTTGAATGGCAGCATCGTGCAAGAGCTCGCCTGTATGCGGTTTCCATCCAACCTGATCTTGCTGCTGGCCCAGATACTTCGCGCTTGCGAAAGCAGGCAGAGACTGGGTAGCGGCCGGCATGATTTTTAACTGATAGAAGTTACTAAAGAACGAATCTTCACTGATAGAAGTTAGTACCACTTCGAAGTACTGCTCGAGGACGTGGGGCCCTTCGGTCTCAACATACGACTGCTGAGGAATATTCTACTACGTGAACGTGGTGCCGTTCGGTCCTCAGCAGGAGCACCTAGAACTAGTACTAGACACAAGATCAAGAAATACTTAAATTAAAGTAAATACTATCCTTGAGATCTTCCAGCTAAAATTAGTACGTAGAGCTTCATCGGTAGTTCTTCTTTCTCGTGTTCGATGTGATGATGATGAAATAGAACAAGAAATATTCTTCTAGAGAAGAACCTGAGAGGAGGGTAGTAAGTAGCGAATGAAAGCAGGTCTTGATAACTGATGCATGATGGGCTGGGGTGACATCTGAGGCCACTTACACAACTTTTACTGATCCCGCAACGTCGTCAATAAGAAGGGTGACGAATTGCTTAGATTGTAGGCCGGCGCTGTCATTAGTTAGTCACTAACTTAATATTTCTTGAGGAGAAGTTCAAAGGCTTCCTTTCTTTCAAGATGCTTATTCGTAACGAGATGGATCTGTTAGAACACACCATTCTTTCATATCAATCTTATAGTTCGTTGGATGAAAAGACAAAGAGAAAGCCAGGTGATCATTTTCCGAATTCGTGCTTGCATCAGAGGTGATTGAAATTGCTGGAAGTACAGAGCAGAATGTCGCATTGTCTTGTTGATTCTCCTCAGGTGGAACATCAAGATAGTTTTTTGGCGGACACCTTGCAACATGGAGTCGGCCCCCTCCTACATCTTCAAGGATTTCCACTACATCTTCAAGAGCAGTTTATGAATTTAGTATTCACGTCTTCAGCCGCATCTTCAACGAAATCTCATCTGGTATGAGATCTGAAAAAAGAAGTAGCTTGGATTCACAAGATTTGGAGCTTTCAGAAAAACTTTTTTATGACCAAACTCGGTGACACATGTATCACGAAATTTGGTCGCCAAGTCCTCAGGGAAGCGACATAAGGTTGCCAAGTGCAAAGGGAAGCGACATATCTATGGCGTTTCTCTTAAGGAGCTCTTTTAAGGAGAGCTCCCGGGTTCCTTGCGAGAGCTTCTTAAGGAGACCTCTTAAGAGAGAGGAACAGGGCTCCTTAAGAGAGCCCCTTTGAAAAGCAACTGCCTGGCCTTCGTCAGTCTTAGTCTTTCTGGCGGCATGAACCATAGAGAGCTCTGCGCGATGGCTTTCAGCAGAAACGCCACTGAGACCAGATACCTGGCGAAGACGATGAGCTTCGGAGGGAAAGCGCGCATAGTCTCCGTATGCGATGTCACGCTGCAGTGCTCAGGGGCCGTGTGCTTCATATGATCCAGCAAGTCTACGTTCTGGCAGCTGGTGTCGCCAACGTAGTCCGCAGAGAACAACCACTGACAGCCCGAACAGCAGACAGGCTCTCTGCAAGAGCATTTTGCTTCGTCCACTGCTCATATAGAGCCAGACCATCTTTTTCATCAGACAAGAAGGCTGCACTCCCCTCTTCTGCGGCCTCAGTCGTGCTACTTTCACCAAAGTCGTCGTAAAAAGAACTCAAAAATTTTTTACCCTTTTTCTTCTTCTTGGATGCAACAGCAGGAGTAGCTTTCAGTTTGGCTTCGGCTTTAGCAGGACCAGTAGCTCTACGACCACGTCCACGACCACCACTTTTGGGAAACACAAGACGAAGTGGTTCGTCTTGAAGCTCGTGATCCATATCAACGTCAGAGTGTCCGCTTGAGTAGAGATTCTTTTCCTTCTCAGCTTCTAGTAGGTCTACGTAATCAGGAAGCTTTGATGTCTAATCAAAACTTGATGCCTTACTGGGACCGACGACCTTGCTTATCTCTGAGGCCAAATTTGTTCTACCTCCACCTTCTTCTCCGCGAGATGAAGATCCAAGAGTAATCTTCGAAGATCCAAGGAGTAATCTTCGAGGAAGGAGAGGTAAAATACAAAGTCGTCATCACTACGCTCAAGGTGACCGTTACTACACCTACAGTTCCTACGGCTAGCACGGCTAGTACCCCCTTTGCCGGCCAAGATTGACCCTTTTGCTGCAATCGCTTGCGTCGACACTTTTTTTTATGCTTTTTCGTTTGAAACAGCAGTTATTAAGTAAGTTGTTTTCTTACAAGTAGAAGTAAAGACGTTGTCGTGAGTAGAGCTTTCTTTTAGAAGTATTTTTACAGAGAACAAGAACGAGACCTCCTATTAGAAAATGATAACTAATAGACTAGCTACTGACCTTATAAATAAACTATAGGCACGTAGTAGTTTTTAGTAGTGGTTGTAAAAAATTATAAACTTAAAGAAGTAAACGAAAACTGCTGCTCCTGTGCACAGTCTGGTTGTCAAGAAAACAATGATTGTATAACTGTACAGTACAAATAAACTTCAACTAGGTAGTACTAGTACAACGTCAACGACTACTTCAAGAAGAAGTATAACGAAGACGATCACTGTACTAGTACCAAACACCTACAACAGCTATACAGTGTAGTAACTTACTAAAGTCAATATGCGATTGATGATATAGATACAGCAACAAGATCGTTACAGGTAAAAGAACTGCATCTGTATCGACCTTTAGTATCTGTACGAGAAGTAGCAACGTAGAAGTAGTTATATCTCCACGAGAAGTATCAATCAACCTCGAAGAAGTAGTAGTTGTCTACAAAAGTAGGTGGTAGATTTCCCTGGGGTCATCGAATGAAATAGAAGACGGCGGATTGTTCCAACGAGCACTTTCAAAAAGATCCACGGATGTTATAGAAAAATCGGAAAAAAGACCAGTCGAAAGGGTTGAAGATCCAAGATGGAGATCGTTAAAAAGACTGCGCCCGTTTTCGTACTCCTCCGTCTCCGGCCGAAAGATTTGAAGATCTGAAAAACCCATTAAAGATCTCCCGAAAGACCAATGGAAGATCTCCTGAAAGACCAATGGAAGATCTCCTGAAAGACCAATGGAAGATCTCCTGAAAGACCAATGGCAGATCTCCTGAAAGACCAATGGAAGATCTCCTGAAAGACGAATGGAAGATCTCCTGAAAGACCAGTAATCGTGCTATGAAGAGCCGCCTAAGACCATGCTCACCGATTGATCATGGAGACCTACAACTCCCTCATCCTCTGCGGTTGATCAATCCATGAAGATCCTAGCTCCGAGATCGAATGAAGGATCTTCAACCAGGAGAAAATCAAGAGGAAGGATCTTCTCTACTGAAACTCTATGAAGAGATCGAATGAAGGATCTTCCCTCAAGGATCTTCTCTACTGAAAGCGAAACTCTATGAAGAGATCGAATGAAGGATCTTACCTTCCCCTTGAAGGATCTTCCTTGCTGAAAAACTATGTTGAGGAGATCATAGAAAGATCACTCATCTATGATCATTATCTTCTATCACCAGACGAAGCTCACTCATCTATGATCTTAGATAGCAGATCTCCTTTGATGGCCGACCTTTGCCGATCATAGGATGGAAAACTTACTAGAAGGATTTCCTTTGTTTTGTATCTTACGAATTCAATCTACCTAGAGGACCTTCGTTCTCGTCTCCTCGTATATAGGTAGTCTGAGGAGCACCAGTTAGATCAGGCCGTTTCTGCTCTCAATGGTCGTGATGTCGATCCTAGTTCTCTTTTAGTATTACAATCTCCACTAGGACATGTTGTACTACGAGGATCTGTTGTACTACGAGGATCTACTATTTGGATCCCAATATGGATCATATTTGCTTTCGGTTTCGACTTCGGATGAGAATCATATTGGAGTTGGCGGGGGGACACCAAGATTTTAGACAGCTCACAAACGTTGTAGTTGGCACACTGCCGTCCACCGTTTGCCTCGTATTCTTGGGTGGACAAACAGACAGCTCACAAACTCAGTCACGCACGATTTCTCTCTTTCTGTCGGCAACGTCGGCTACGCTCTTGCGGCCATATCACACACGATCTCAACACTCATACACGATCTCAGTACCTAGAACACCACAGTGATCGCACCAGGGAACATCATCAGACAGAAGAATTCCTCACTCAGTCACTCAATGATAACAAGCAAGTTGGATTTATGCTGACTTATACAGCTATTACGGATGTTCAAATTAATTCCGAAAAACTTAATACTAACTTGCAATGACTCATGTTCAAACTCACTTATTTCGTTCCAGAAAATCAGATTCACTTATTTCGTTCCAGCACATGATCCCATTAAAAATAATAGATACGGGCCTCTACTACATCAAGCCCAATAGTTATAATACTGGCCTCTACAAGCCCTATGAAACCGCGCTTTAATGAGGGTACAAACACAAAGTCCTAATGAATATGAAAGTCCTTAAAAGTATTAAATAACGCACTTGCAGCTACAAGTAAACAGCTATGTCAAGTTACATCAATTCAATTTCAATTCAGTCAGTGACATATCCCCGTTATTTTTGAAAACTACTACAGCAGGCTACTTCTAGTGCTACAGCGTAGCTTTTTTACAATCGACATCAATTTTTTAGCTTCTCCTTTTTCCTCATCTTCTCTTTTATTTTTCTCTTCCACCTCCTCCTTCTTTTGAAGCTTGACGAGCTAGCTCACGATCTCGCGACGAAGTAGAAACCAAAGACGAAGTAGGAAAAACCGACGCTGCGCGAAGTGATGATATGACAAGCCGCACGTTGCTCCCATGTCCGCAGGCTTCTTTCCTCCTCAGTAGAGGGAGGCCAGTTGTAAGTTGCAAAGACACGGAAAAGCATACACATGCGCATATTCTGGTCATATCTGAGAAATCTTGCAGAGAGCTGTAACGAGCGGATCTGCGCACCCACGATCAGCCTCGCGGGCTGTCGTGGTGCCTGGTCTACCACGAGCTTCTTTAAGCACCAAAAAAATTTCTCCCCTACTACATCATAAAAAACTTTTTTTATTCTATATCTAAATATCCATTCAAATTCATTCGTCGAAAAAAAATCCTGCGATTTTCCGTCCTGCAATTCACTGTGCATCAAGCACGCGTGAAGAAAATAACAATTCTTGTACCAGTTTAATAAATCTGTGGACCATCGAGCAAACTAGGTAGTCTGAGGACAAACCACTAGTCTGAAAAAAAACTACCCTCGACTACTTTCATTCATTCCTATTCTATTCCTATACGAGCTTCCTGGGGATTCCACGGTTCGTTGCCCATCCCCTGCTCCATCTTCCACATCCAAAGAAGTGCTATTTTCTTCGCGACCTTTTGTTTCACTTGTAATCCTCCTAGTAGAAGTAGAAGCAGAAAATAGATTGTTACGTCGGACGCAATTTATCCAAAGCATTAATGAAGCTTTGCACCGTCGGATCTTCCACGCAGTTGTCCGTTCCTGACTTTCTCCTATCACAAGATCGAGATGTCATAGTGGTGTCGTAGTTATGATCCGCCTCAACTTGCGTCGTTTGAGCGCTCGCGTCCCCAAGAACAGCTTCACGAACGCAAAGCTCTATCCGACGTGTGTACTTTATCTCCTCTCCGTTCTTCGAGCTAGTAGAGCTCTCTGTATGATCTCCGTTCGAGCTAGTAGAGCTCTCCGTATGATGATCGGAAAACCATTTATGAATCGCGTCAACGGAAGATGCGGGTGCGGCGTGCAGTGCTAGGTCCAACCCTTTCACGATCGCATCAAGCACTACTGTAGCTGTTCCATTCGGATTTTCAGTCGAGTCCCAGGTAAAAAATTTCTGCATCACACCAGGCCTGAAAGAAACCATGCGCAGCAACGACAGACGTTTTTTCGGCCTAGTTGTAAAAGAGGAAGTCTTGTTTCCAGTAGAATCAAGAGACTCAGACTTCTGCTGGGGCTTCTCTGCAGACGCTGCCGCGACTTGTTGTATGAATTCTTCCCACATATTGCGGTAAGCATTTAGGAGGTACCTTTCTACCGGCTCCTGGATTTTTAAGCGATTCTCCTTCTCCTTCTCTTGGTTTTCATCTTCATCTTGAAGATCTTTCTGCAAAGGAACTACACCTGCACCAGCTTGGTATTTCATGATGTCCGACTCAAGTTTTGGCTGTAACACATGGATCACACCGGTTTTATTCTCATACTCATGAAACTGAGCTTTGCCGAATTCTGTCAGCTTCCGCTCAATGTCCGGCGCAAACTCTGTCTGTTGTCGAATTTCAAGAAATTCGTATAATCTTTTGGAAAATACGTTTGGCGCCACCGAATCTGGGCTCTCCAACTTCACCGGAGGACGCGGATTGCGCTGTATCAAGTCCACAACAACCTGAAGAGCAAGGATCAAGAGAGTGAGACGACAAAAATCTAAATTATCCAAAATTAGTATCTACATTCAACTTATCCAAAATCATCTTCCAAAAAAATTATCTTCATCATATCTCGATTGATATAAAGTAGATTGATTGATTGATTGATTGATTGATGTACCTATTCTACAAGTAGTGTTGCACTCATTTATGTTAAAGAGTGCTAATCAAGATAAAGATGAGTTTTATAGTATACTTAATAGGATAAAAAAGATTCATAATTCAAGAGGCCTGGTAGATGGAGGCAAACTCGCTAGGAAAGAACCAAAAGAAACAAGAAGTGTACTGTAGTTGAAAGTAGTGCAACGAATTAAAACTCATATGGGCTTAATACTGAGATAGACCTAGGAAGACCAAAGATAAAAGTGCTTTTACTTTTGAAAAAAGTCATCAGAGCCGAGACCCTGTAAGGTCGGAGATACATATGGGTATCAAATACTTAAGTTTAAAATAGGTTGGAGATCTGTAGTCCCCGCGCGCAGTCTAGCGTAGTTTGTTTCTAGGGTAAAAAGTCTTCTACACAACGCACTAAGAAACTCCTGCTAAGGTCGTAAGGCGTAGCTACGTGGGACTAAAACTAGAGAATGACTCACATCGCTGAAATTTTTAATATGTACTAGTTCTCATATTATGAAATAGCACAGGATAGGATAGGACTAGGACTAGGGCGCCTTTGTGGTACTTAGATAGGATAGCAGCACATCATGTCGTGTGCAGCATCTCTAGTGGCTTCTAGAGTAGCAGGAGGAGGACTGCTGGATAATACCAATAAGTAATTTATGAAATGGAAACGGTTCCTTTTACTTAAAAGTCTTATTTTACCGCGAGAGAGTGCCCGCTCATGTTGGGCATCGCAGCGGAGGCCCGCAGCCGAAAGAGGCCGTGGTTTCTGGGGATTTCTCTCAGATCTAGACGCCAGATCTGAGCCTCGGAAGAGGGTCCGCAGACCCCTTCCAGGGACCCTCCAAAAGAGCTAAAGTAATCATTTTAAATCGCCAGAAGGTCAAGAGTAGCAGGCGGAGGACTGTTGGATTTTCTCCATAATACCAAAAAAAAAATAGTACCGTTTCCTCATTCGGTGCATCGCCTTCTCCTTTCCTGTCCTTGCTCTTGCCAAGAGGATCGTACTTCTTAATCTCTATCCTGTCTAGCAGCATTCTTCTGAGTACGGGAGACGCCTCCTTATACGATATTAGAGCCGGCTGCTCAGTAGTTGTCTCTAGCAGTTTCCTCTCGCTCTCAACGCGCTCGCGCTCCAACCTAGCCTCGTGTTCTCCTTCTAGCGCTTTCTTTTCAGACTCCAACCGAGCCTCGTGTGTTTCTTCTAGGGCTTTCTTTTCCAGTGACAGCTGGCGCGTCACCTTTTGCGCTTCTTCTAGCTCTTTCTCTAAGCCATTCTTCTCATTGAACTCTTCCCAGAGTTCGTCGGCCTTCTGCTTCTGCCTCACCTCGCTCCAGTCCTTCAGGAGCTCCTGCCACTCTTTCAAATGCTGCCCCAATGCTGAGGTCTTTGTATTCTCTACAACCAGTTGGTCGTTTAATTTAGACTTTTCAGCCAGTGCTTGCTCCTTTTCAGCCAGTGCTTGCTGCTTTTCAGCCAGTGCTTTCTCCTTTGCAACGTGCAGCTTCATTACTGCAGACTCAAGTCTTCCTTTCTCTCGTTGTAGTTGCGGCAACTTATGCTCGAGTTCTTCGAGTTTTTTCGTAAGTTTCGCATCAATATCGCTATGATCCAACTTACGGCACTCCTCGCTCTTCTTCTCAAGGAGTTCCTCAATGTCCGTCAGCTTTTGCTGCTTTGCATCCAGCTCAGCCTCTAGCTCCGTGACCCTTGCCTCAAGAGCAACTATACGTTCACGCGTCAGTGCATTCTTCAGCCCATCGCCAATCACCTTCAACGTCCATTCATTTCCAGTCAGCGTTGCCTGGCACTCAGAGAGTGCACTCGTCTTAGCCTCAAGTACCTCGCCCTTTTCAGCGAGATCACCCAATGCCTTCTTCAGTTCCTCTTGCGTCGTAGCCAGAGCCTTCTCCTTTTCAGCGAGATCACCCGATGCCTTCTTCAGTTCCTCTTGCGTCGTAGCCAGAGCCTTCTCCTTTTCAGCGAGATCACCCGATGCCTTCTGCAGTTCCTCTTGCGTCGTAGCCAGGGCCTTCTCCTTTTTATCGAGATCACCCGATGCCTTCTGCAGTTCCTCTTTCGTCTTAGCCAGATCCCGGTCCTTTTTATCGAGATCATTGAACAGAGAGTGGTACGCACATGCGAATTCTCGCGTCTTCTCCTCTGCACAATGGTCATATTTCTCACCCTGCGCACACATCTCCAGAGCATAGTCTCTATGATCTTCAATCTTGCTTTGCTCCAAGTCCTTGATTTTTTTCACCAGTCTCGCTTCTTCCTGTTCAAACATCGTAACATCCCGCAGCCTTTGCTGAGCAACTTGGCTGCGAGTCATTTCTAGCTCTCGATCTGCCGTCTTTTTCAGCTCTTGCTCTCTCTGCAATTGCTCTTTGCTCTGCTGCAGCTCTTCTTCGAGAGCTCGAGCTCCTGCATGAGTAGGCGTATTTTTATAGGCATCCGGACTTTGGCTTTGCAAGACCAAGGCAAGTAATTTTTCTACACGACTCAAAGCAGTCGTGTCCTTACTGGACTCATCAAGATCAACAAGCTTCTCGTCGCCTTTATCAATATCTGTCAATCTCAATGCAATCCTCAGTTTTTTTTCCATCTCGGCCAGAGCCTCGTCTCTTGCAAGTGCCTCGCGTGCATTCGTCAGCCCATCTTTAGTCACCGGCAACGTCCACTCATTTCCAGGCCGCGTTGCCTGGCACTCAGAAAGTGCACTCGTCTTAGCCTCAAGTTCAGCACGTGTCTTCTCAAGTGCCTCGCGTGCATTCGTCAGGTCATCTATCATCACCTCCAACGCCCTCTCGCTTCCATCCAGCGCTGCCTCCCGCTCAGAGAGTGCACTATCCTGAGCCCCAAGTACCTCACGGTCACGGGCCTTGTTCTCTGCCTCAGCTACCTTATCTCGCAAAGCCTGGTTCTCAGATGCCATCTGTTCTAGCTTGCGCTGCAAAATAGATTCTTCCTCTTTCAACCGATGCATCATGGACCCTCCAACATTCTCCGTTTCTGCCAGGTGGGATTGCGTCGTAGCCATGGCCTCGCCCTTTTCAGCGAGATCACCCAATGCCTTCTGCAGCTTCTTTTGGGTCTCTTCCAGGTCCTTCTGGGTCTCTTTCAGTTTTTCGCCGTAATGACGATCCACTTCTTCTACCATCTGTCGGTCAGAAGAAGCCCGCTCCTCTTGCAGCTGAGCCTTCAATTGAGCACGACAACTGTCAGCATCACGTTCACGCGTCGGTGCATTCGTCAGCCCATCTGCCATCACCTTCAACACCCTCTCGTTTTCATCCAGCGTTGCCTCCCTCAGTGTCAGTGTACACTGTAATCGCGTATTTTCTCGAACAAGCTCCTCTTTCTCAGCCCTTAAGGCATTAATCTGAACAGCAAAGTCCTCCGCCTGTGCTTCTTTCTCAGCCCTTAAGGCATTAAGCTGAACAGCGAAGTCTTCCGCCTGTGCTTCTTTCTCAGCCCTTAAGGCATTAAGCTGAACAGCGAAGTCTTCCGCCTGTGCTTCTTTCTCAGCTTTCAAAGCAGCCAGTTGCTTTTCCTGCTCGGCCAGTTGCTGGCCCCTCTCCGCCTCGGCATCTTTAGAAGCAAGATGGCCGGCTGCAGCCGTAACTGCGTTATGCACAACGACTTGCGAAAGCGTTCTCCTCTCTCTATGTAGTGCTTCAGTGAGCGTTTTCTTCTCTTTACTCAGTTCGTCAGCAAGTCGTTGATACATACTAGGCTGCTCCCCCATTTGTTCCTTCTCATCGCTGTTCTTCGCAGAAGAAGAAAAACCTTCGCCTTCTCCATGATCTTCACTGCCATGACCATCACTGCTGCCAGATTCACTGCTAGAACTACCGTAAGCATCATCTTCTTGTTCGGAGGACAAAATATGCGCGAAACCTTCTGTCTGCGTACCAACATCTCGATGATCGCCAGACGATGTTTGCATGCCTTTATCAAGCGTCAACAACGACTCCGTTTGACTAGCGACATCACTAGCCTGCTCAGAAGGAACAACAGTCTGAGTAGCGATATGACCAGAAGAAACAGGAGTCTGAGTAGCGACATCAATAGCCTGCTCAGAAGGAACAACAGTCTGAGTAGCGATATGACCAGAAGAAACAGGAGTCTGAGTAGCGACATCTACTTTTTCAGTAGAGAAACCAGCAGCTTCAAACTCAGTCTCAAGAGTATCTTCGCCTTCGTCCGGATCATCCGCCTTCTCAATGTTGTAGTCCTCGTCCTGCTTTGGCCCAAAAAATATGCTACCTTTTTTACCCGGACCAGCTGGACCTGTTCTTGTTTCAATTTTTGGCTCCCAATAAGCAGACGCAACACGACGAAGACCATCTCCGTTTATTCCAGTACTACCTCCACGACCATTCGTACCTCCACGAGGACGACCACTCCTCGACGTGAAATACAACGTAGTCGTAACAATGAACAGCGTCAGCGCTACGACAAAAGCGCAAATCTTCATGGCTAAAATCATGTTATTTGGGGTTCTCCTCACAGCCCCGGTCGTAGTTGTAGCTACCTTGTGATCTGATGGTCCTGTGGTGGCGGCCACAGGATCTTCGTTGCCTCCTGCCATGAGCGAAGTAGTTTCGTCTTCGACTATCAGCGCCATCTTTCACTCTGTACTTTCTTTTTAGAAATGTCTTCTATTTCTTACACATTAGTTACACTTTAAAATCCTTGTTTCTTTGAGCTCACCAGTTGTGCCTACTTCTTATTCTTATTCTATTTGTTTTATAGTACATCACTATTTTGCATACAATTCCAAATAACTTTGTTGAAAATGAGAGTCACACAATATTACGTGTTACTTCTTCACGAGGATATTACTACTCGAGTGACGACATTTTATACATAGCTTATTTGTTCATTCATTCATTCATTCATTCATTCACTCACGCTGCCGCTGGCGATCGCCAGAAGCAACAATATTTCGCGCTTAAATATACTACTTACCCAATAAGTCATAACGTTGCATAAGATGGATCTACTCCTTGACACAATCGAGATCGTCCTGGATAAAAATAGTTAGTCTTAGTAGAATACCTCCTTCAACAGTAATAGTGGAGTATCTCCTTCATCTAACTCAACTACAAACAGTAATGAGGAAAGATGAAAAGTTGTAAATCTCAGTTGTAACAAACAATGTTCATGTTGTCGGTGGATTTGCAATCCGATAGGTGCAGTAGATTCGGCCACAGACGTCTATAGTACTATGATGTCCTATAGTACTATGATGCACATGGACTAGATTTAGAGATTATTTCAGATCTCCGAAGAGGTCCTATTTTTTTCAATCACAGACTTCTACTTGTCTTACGTATTATGTACGAGAGACAATCAAATCTTATGAACTTCTATATTCATTCGAGATTACTAAGATTTACTTAGTTCTCTCACCAAATGAACGCTCTCTCCCAGGCACTGAAGTAAGGATATCATTTATTGCTCTTTTGGAAAGACTACTCTACTATCAATAAAAAGGGTCAGGGTGTAGGTACGTAGTAGGTAACCCATTGATTGAGTGAGTGATTGACCTACCCACTCAATGGGGTAGAACGTCTTTAAGAATAAGAACAGACCAAGATCTAACCAAGAACAAACCTAATCGTCGAAGCAATGCATGAGGACCGACCAAGATCTAACCAAGAACAGGATCTAGGTTCAGTTCCAGCAGATCTTGTTCTTGCAGGTCTTGCGCCTAGCCAAGAAGACAGACCGAAAATTTTGAACAGTCGCGACACAGGATCTACAGATCTACATCCGAGGGCACGATCTTACCAAAATCAAATTTGTCCTGCTCCTTTGATCCCTCGATCTACCGAAACCGATCCATCTTAAAATTTAATACGAACCATATGATCCGCAATCAAATTTAATTCGATTATATCTTCATTTGGTCTACTCCTCCTATGTATCCCAGCTACAGAGATGATTATGTTCATGATCTTGACCTTTCTCCTACTACCTTTATAGCTTGATCTCCTAGTCCTGTTAACTTTGTAGTCCTACCCCCAGAAGATCCCTAGTCGTGGTCGATGTTCTTCTACTTGGTGATTGAGTTCATTTGATCCGCCAACAACTACAATCCTTATTTCTATACAGATCCGTTCATCTTGCCCTTTTGATCCATTACTTCTATACAAGTTGAAATTCGTTTATCTCCTTGTGATCCATTACCTGTATGCGAGACCCAATAGGTCAGGAACTTCTACATCAGAAAGATCAATCTTCAGATCTCCCCACCAGAAAACCCTTTTTCTTCTAAGGCATCTCCAGTTGATGGAGTTGTGTTTTTGCTCATCAAAAGCGCCAAAGCTGCTGCGTCCAGTTCTGCCGTAGGCTTTTCTACTCCACCACCTCCGAACTTGTTCTTTTTGCCGCCCTCTTGGTGTTGTTCCACTTCTGTCCTGGTGGTGCCGCCAAAACGATGCGTGTAATCGGCCACAGTCCCGCCAACCTCCTTTGAGCGATCACGAATTACAAACTACATCAAGATCGAATTTGTTCCAGTTCCACAAATCAACATGATCTCCTAGATTAGTATGAATCACTTAGTACTGTCTCTAACTCGATCGTACAACTACAAAGGAAGGGCTGATAGATAGTAGTACCTATTAACACATTTGGTCCATTGAATTCACAACAACAAACGAGCTTTCTTTTACTAGATGTAATTCAAGTTCTTTTTTTCACAAAAGGAAGATCAACAACAAGAATAGGCCTTTGTCGATTATACTGTAACCAATACTAACCTCCATAGGCCTTATTAAGTAAAAGTAGAGTAATCCAGGTTTGGCGCTCGCAAGATTTTCTCGTCGTCCATCGAGCCATCGTTTCTGATAACATCATCTAATTTGGACGGCCCGAACATCAGCTACCGAACACCAGCAGGAGGAAGGGGAACGAATGGTCACAGGGAATGAGGTGGTCGCAAGAAGGTCAACACAATTGGAAAAGCACAACTGATGCTCAGAAACAATTTATCATAGATGAAAAACTTTACTCGGCCCTAGTCACGAATAAATCATCACTCAAATAAGTAGTACTTCTATTGAAACTGAAACTACTAACTAGGAAAATCCAGCAATAGTAAAAATACAGAAGGCAAGAACAAGTTCCTCCGTCTTAGCAAGACTGCGACACTACCAGAATTGCTCTTCTATACGAAAGAAACAGCACCAAGCACTAGTATTCCACACTCCCTTTCTCGATATGCGTTGCTAGCGGATATCCATGAAGAACCAGGGCCGCAGTTGACAACTCTTGGAAAAGAGAAGGCTGCTGTAGACTTGGCTCATCGTGGGCTCCGTGACGCCACAACTGGAGCTCGTCCACGTTTTGTGACTATCTCTGGTGGGAGAAGATCGCCAACGACCTCCTCCAAGATCAACTTCTCGGGGTCAGATTCTTCTGGAGTGAACGTCAATACCGGTTATGGAGGAGATCATGTTCATGCGAAGAGCGCGAACGCAATCAACAAGCCGATACAGCAGAGCACCAAACCAATTACACCGGAGGCTGCAGCTCGGTCGGCCTTTCGCGAAATGGAAGGGTCCAACATCCCGGACACTGGTGTAACTTAATAAGTCCTCGCGAGTTTCTTCTCGATCGCAGGCAGGCGGACGTCGTAGTCAATGCTGACGCAGTACTCACGAGAAAAATCATCTTAAAGGAAGGACCGACTCTCAAGCATTCATCTGCGGATCTGGTGGACATCTTCAACAAAATACCCAAAAAGTTGAAATACTGACGTAACGTTTCTTTCTGGCAGCGTCGGCACTGCTGCGATTTTACCTGATTGGTTTTTGGACCACTTTAGCGTGTACCTACGGTCGGAGATCGAGCGGTTGGTGGTGAAACAGCTGCTGGAGATACTCGGGCTAGGGAATGCTCAGCAAGGAACTACTCTTGTGGAGAATAGCAATACTTTTCTACATGAAAATGTGCTTCCTAGGCTGTGATGCTACACTTAACTATAAATTAGTCTGTTATTCTAACAAGTACGTTGCAGTTCCATTATTCCACCCAAAAATGAACAGCACCTAAAGTTCCTTTAGATGTCTAATACTTTTCTACATGAAAATGTGCTTCCAGAAACGTTTCAAGAGGCTCGAAGATTCGCGGAGTTAGGCCTTCCGAAGGACAGCGTACAGATTCTTTCAAATGCTGGAGACAGCACAGGTAGAAGCACGGTTTCGGGAACATCAACCTTGTCGCTGTTGCAGAGAAGAAATAGCTTCTTTGGTTGCCATGATGAAGCTGAAGTAGAGGAGCTTATCGACGATCTCCAAAGTTGTAGCTCGCCTCATGCGAAAAGTCCAGATATCGCACGCATTCTCGCCCAGCGTGCATTGCAGAAGAGGGAAGTGAAAGTTTCAACCGTGTCCGAAACCATACAAGAACAGCGTTGGAAAGGAAAAGAAAAAAAAGTACGGCAGTTTGTTAAAAGCAGTCTGCTTCTGCACCGCTTCACGGACGTCTCATCGGTCGGTGCAATGTCCTCAACGAGACGAAAAGAATCAGAATGCAAGAGGCACGGACTCTGGCTGGAATATCGACAAGCTGTCCTGAGCGCGATTGCTCCTTTGCGAGCAGAAGTGTATGCACTAGCTGATCTCTCTCCCATTTTTTCATCAACTAGTAGGGCCACGGGGGCGCAAAGCGGCGCTTCTCTAGCCCCAGGACCTTCCTCGACAACCAATTGGTGAGCGAACTTGGCACAATCTTAGCCATGGAGGATCCGGCTGAGTTCAGCCGCGAGGACGATGGAGCGTCGATCCTCGCGCTGAGTTCAGCCGGGAGGACGATGGAGCGTCGATCCTCGCACGGCTCAAAGACGCAATTCTGAAACAAACCCTGACAGAAATCGAAAACACCTTTGTGAAACTGGCCGTAGAGAAGTTGAAGAAGATCGACGACCTAAATGAAGAATTGGATTTGGAAATGCAGTTCAATGAGGCGTCCGAAGTGATACTAGACTTTCGTCCACCCTTCTGGGCTGTCGACGGACCTATCAGGCGCGCTTGTTACAATGGTCTAGCGACAGGGCCGACGACTTGTAGTATATGACTGGTCGAAGCTCCGCGCCAGAGCACGAGCGCGGTATGGTTAGACTATCTTAGATCAAATCTATGGAGATAGGAGAGGCGACTATTATATATGTTCCAGGGCGCAAGGCGGCACCCCCCCGCCCCCCCCTAGCGGGGGGG